TCCTTTTTTCTACCCCTCTCTCTTTCTTACCCTCCTCTTTCACCCTCTCTCTTTTTCACCCCCCTCTTTTTTTTTTCACTCCTTTCTCCTCTTTCACTCCCTCTCTCACTCTCTCCTCTTTTTTTTTTTTCATCCTCTCCTTTTTCTACCTTTTCCTTTCTTCTTTTTCATTTCTCTTCTCTACTCTTTTCTCCTTTTTCACCTCTCCTCTTTTTTCACTTCTCTTTCTCACCCTTTCCTTTGCTGTAGCATGGCCGAGCCCAGTATAGTCCGCGGGTACAGAGAGCAGCTGTCTCCTGTACCTGGCGGACTAACAGGAAGTGCACACTGAGTGTTCACTTCCTGTTAGTCCGGCCGGGTACAGGAGACAGCTGCTCTCTGTACCCGCGGACTATCAATGCTGCAGGGCTCGGCCACGCTACAGCAAAGGAAGCTGACAGGAGGGATCGCTGTGCGCTTCCCTCCTGTCAGCCTCTCCCCATGCTGCGCCCGGGCGGTGCGGTCCGCCCTCATGGACGCACCGCCCGGGCAAAGCTGCAGCCGCCTGAGGCTCACTACAGAGCGCTCGGGCGGCTGCAGCATGGGGGGGGGCGGCGGGGCTGGTCATGGCACCCCCCACCCGGCTGGCACCCGGGGCGGACCGCCCCCCCCCGCAGTACACCACTGGTTGGAGGTTCCTGTTCCCTCTACCGCAAGAGCAGGCTGGGCTTTTCACCCTCTTGAGCAGTGGCCCTTGCTGTCCTTATGCCTCTACTTGGGCCGATGCAATGGGTGCTCAGCTGCAGGATTAGGTTGAGCCACATCCTCCTGTGGGCTGAAGAGTTAAGGCCTCAGCGCCGCCACCCTAGCTAAATGTGGTTAATTGTTTAATTTTTTTCAGACGTTCTGTTTGAATGGTTTTTCTGCCATGATGATGTATTCGATAAATGTGGCCAGCGATGGCTTTACCTTCCAGCATGTTTAATGTGTTATTTATTTCAAGGGGAATGTTGGGTTAAGGAGGGTATTATAGGGTTGGTTATTTTGGCTAAAACAAAGGGACATGGGAGATTACCCTTAAGAGATTCAGAAGCCCCAGATGGTCGTTTTGGCCTTCTGTGGACCTAGTCAGCAAGGTGTAGATGTGGACCACGTGCTCACTGTGGTGTTTTTAAATAAAACGATTACACTCTGTGAGACTTTAAATCATTGTTTAGTGAATACGCGAGTGCGCTGGATTGTGTATCTTGTATATATTGGCCCCAGCAGCACCCTATAATGTATGCATGTTTAGGTGAGTGCAGTCCTCTTGATATCATTTATATATTTGGGAGTCCAGGCCAACTTGGTTTTGCACCCCTCCCCATTCCAGGATCCTATTTACTCTTGACCTACAGAGAGACACAGGAGGAAGTAATTCCCAAGTAAGTGGATTGATCTCATAAGGGCAGGCATTATGCTGCTAGGATAGGACCTGCCAAGAATGTTGTACATTGTGGTAGGCTTATGCAATATATGATCATATATTGTAACTAAACATCCATTATTTTTTTGCCTCGGTGAGGTGTTTTAATTAAAACTATTACAATCTGAGATTTGAAATCATTGTTTAGTGAGTAAGTGAGTGGCTGGATTGTGTGTGTATATATATATATATATATATATATATATATATATATATATATATATATATATATATAAAAAAATAATCCAGGGGTAACATTGTTGTTATTGGACAATAAATCTATTAAAACATCAAAAGTCCTCCTTTTCTCTACTATAGAAAGTCACTGCTGCTTATAGGCTGTATCAGGACAGTTCCAGAATGAAGGAACAAGCACCTTTTCTGCGTTCAGTAAATGCCGCAAAATAGATTTCTTGCGTTTAGACACAGAGTGGTGTAACATGAAGTGGGACATTCTCAAAAACAAAAAAGGGGACTCAAAAATGTCAGTAAGAGTATCTTTAGACGAAAAAGGGTACTAAGTGGATTGAATAGATATGGGCTGCAAATAACCAAACACCAAATAGGTGAATAATAAAAATATTATGCAACCTAGAAAAAAAAAAAAACAATACGTTTCATGTAAAGTAAATAAAAATATATGGGTGAGGGTGGTAGAAAACTCACTAGATCGATGTATATTCAGGCATTCCTCCCATCAGGAAAATAGATGGATTTTCTTCCAACACTGTCTTCTTAATGGCTCAGAGTAACCAAGAGAAAAAAAAAATACATATATAGTGCAGATGGTATTAAAATGTAACATTTATTGCACTTACAGGATTTTATAATAAAATAAGGCATATTTCCACAACGAACATGGTGTCCAGACTTCAAAGGATAGCAGGAAGTTCCAGGGTGTCGACATGCAGGGTGGCAAATAAATAGTAAAATATACAAATAAAATATACACAAGTCCTACGCGTTTCATCCATTGGGACTTCCTTAGGGATCGATCGAGTATCTTTAACCATCTACCAATAGGATTTGATCAGTGGTCAATACCACTATATATTTCATAGACTCCAAGCCTCTACCATATCTTCAGAAACTGGGGGAAAATAGAAGGAAAGATCCTGTGCAGTACTTCCAGGGTCCTATACCAATGAGATACCAACTTGTAGATGGCCTCTAATGATTACGCTTATGACGTAATAAAAGGACCTTAGTACATGGTCAACAAAGGTCTTGCCCAAAATTCTTTGTCATTGAGGAGAGTTTCCAGTTTTGCTATTACCTTTAATTTGAAAATCACTTCCAAATCTCACTTTTGTGAATTATCCAGATATTGCTTATTTAGGGCTACAGAGAACAGAGCTGCAGGGTTAAATTAGCCCCTTGTTGATCCATACATTTGTACACAGGGACTATTACTTTTGTTTTTTGTTTTTTTCCACTGACAGAATATTATGACAAACTCATCTACATGGTATTAGAATTTCAAGTCTTACATAAAGTAGAGACAACTTTTATTTAAGCGCAAATTTTTAGGCAAATTAAGTAAGAGGCAGCATTAGAAGCTCCACTAGCAATTGGAATAGGATTTATAGACTACCCCTTGAAAGTGACAAATTTTGCCTATGAACAACTGTTTGTTGTTGTTGGCATAGGTGACACGACTCAGAACAGGAATGAAGCAGCCTTTAAAAAACAAAGTTTCATTCATCAATGGAGTAAGAAAAATAAATAACCTACCCAACATGTTATATGGAGACTCATGAATACATTTACTTTAAAGTGGGTCTGACATTTTAAAAACGGGAACTTCACAAATGTAATGTTGGATAGACAAGATAAATATATTGAACTACATTTTGTTTGGACCCTATACAAAATGAGCACCGGCACATTTTAAGCAATTTGATTTAAATCTTTGAGTAATTTAAAGGTATTGTACTTTGCAAATTCCGCATCAAGCATATTACTGTGTAAAGGGACATCAAGTACCCAGACAACTTCAGCTTATTGAAGTGGTCTGGGTGCAGTGCCCCTGTCAGTTGAACCCTGCAATGGTAATTATTGCAATTATTCATAAACTGCAATCAATACACTGCAGAATTAACTCCACTGCTAGTGGCCATTTAAAAGCACGAGGAGGGCAATCTTGTATTCCTAGCCTATAGTTTCCCTTTAAATTATTCCTATAGAATGCTTGCAATTCATATTTAAATATCTTGTCCTGACCAGTGCATTGTCCATGCCTTAACCATTGAGAAATCCACAAACTTTGCTCTTTGAATACTTTATTTGCACCACAATTCCCATTTCTTTTGCATGAGAAATGCATGGAATCTGCTCACCGCAGAATTGTAGCACACACACACCGAATCTTCAGCAGTGTAAGTGTGTGCATGGGGCACATTTTCAATAGCATCAGTAACATTGTCATAATGGGAAGTGTTTCTCCTCCTCCTCCCACCCTTCATTCCTGAACACAATTTGAGAGCACAAGATCAGTTCCTATTTATAGTTAAATCCCCCCCTTATAATATTGTAAAGCACTAATGAATCTGTTGGCACTATATAAATGGCAATAATATTCTGTAACTGCACCAGAACATTTGCTTAGGGTCTGCCCCCAAACTAACATAATCCAGACTCTTAGCTCAGGGGTATTCATTGCACTTCACAATAGATACTGAAACTATAATGCTATACATTTCAAACAGAGGGAACTTGCTGATTTTTCAGATCTGAACTGCTGCTAAGGGTGGGATCAGTCTGATATGCAAACAGAAAAAGTTCTTGGTAATACATGCGAGCAAAAGCTTTTTTGAGACCTGACTGGAGACCATACAACAGGCAAGCTATTAAGATTTTGCTCTCTCTGTGTATGTGCTGGTAGTTTGAGAAAACGTTAATTGCACATCCCACTGCTTTAATGCATTAGCAATAACATTTTGTCAAAGACGTTTAATCACTAAACTAGTTTTTGTCAATCTGACTTTTAATACAATATTACATTTATAGTTACAGTTTAGCTATTTTGCAATTTAGAATTTAATTTGATACAAAATCAAATTTTAGGGAATAAACCTAAAAGAGAAAAGAAATAAAAGTAAAGACTAAAATAAATAGAGGAACGAAACCCCCACCCATCCAAAGTAAATGTTCTGGTTTCTAAACAGGAATATATAAATATTAAAGGTTTTGATGACCTTTACAGTGTGGGACCAATGGGTAATGATCATCATTTTCTATGCATTGCTAATCCTGGTACAATATTTAAAGTTATCAATTTACATTTCATTACAAAATCATACAACTTCATTGATGGAAGCCATGCGTTTTGTTAACAAAAAAAAAAAAAAAGGGAATAAAAAACATTTATTGGAGTCAATCCTATTTTACTCAACATATTGAGCATACAGTTTAACTCTAGTAACCACAGCTGCGGCTTAATTAACGACCTCAATAAATCCTACTTAAGAACCACAGACAAGAAAAGAATTATGCAAATGTGCCATCACCATCTACCAGTCAACAATCCCTTTAGAGAGAAAAAAAAAAAAAAAAGCCAAGATCAAACATACCGAATTAAAAAAAAAAAAAATGATAAGGGGAAAAAAAAATTATATAATATACATCAATAAGTGAGAAAACACATTCAAAATTATTTTATTACAGAAATATGTGATTACAATGATTAGGAGTGACAAACAGGATGCAGACATTTAAAAGACTCAGCATACAAGAGACATGACAGAGCTAAAACAGTTTATTTACATATATTGACAAGATTGGTGACTGACAATCTACTGTGCCTTTTATGTCAGTTAAGATTAGGAGATCCAGGATAGCGCAGGAAACAGCGGTTCTAGGCAACGTTGTTGTCACACCATTGAACATGAAAGGCCAAGAGTTACACCTTGCAGCTTGACAGAATATCTTCTACTAGTTTCTTGTAGACCCAAGCATCTCCCTTCAATCGCTGCCTTCTGATTCCTACTACATCTGGTTTGCTTACTTGACATACTTCCAACTCAAACTGCATTGTTACCTTGCCAAAATCAGACTGTGTTTTGCATTTCAAAATATACCTGTGAAGTGGTGTTGAAAAAAAAAGAAAAAAAAAAGAAGAGAAATTAATATATCTAATCTATATCCTGGTATACACACACACACACACAGACATGTTTTCTTTACACGTTTATTTAGATTTTATTTTTTCCACTGGATAGCAACAGGCAAAGTGATCCCCAGACCATAAAGCTTGCTAAAGAGCAAGTCTTCTTTATTACTGTACAAAAAGTGCAAGTTGCAATAGAAATTAGCACATATATTAACCTTGTTACACCCCCTGACTGTCAGACAAACAGTCCTGTTACGTTTTTTTTTTTTAACGCAGTGTAGTTTTGCAAACTGTTTTTAGACATATCCCCAATGAAAAATGCATAAATACATGTTTTCATTGGGGTATATCTACTAAGTAGTGATTGTTTTTTCTGCAATTGAGTGGTGGAGTGTCCCTTTAAATACTTACCCTTTCTGCACATAGTCCACATTCTTCATAGGCAGTATCTTAGTTAGCTCGTTCAGCAGCTGGTCAGCATTTAGAAGGTTTGTGGTGGTCACATTGTAATGTGCCTGAAAAGATGTGAAAAAAAAAAAAAAACCATATATAATATAAATTATGCTTCTTAAACTTTTCTAGTGACTATGCACACACTCTGCTCCCCCCCTACATCAGGCAGGGTTATTTACAAGACCAAGATTTTATTTATTTTAAAGGTTTCAGCGAGTTTCAGGTCTACAATAATAGCATAAACAAGCTTAAAAATTGGACATATTTACCAGACAATTTAAATTTATTGGCAAAAATAGCTGAAATGTAAACTGACATCTTGCTTTTATGAATGGGCATTGCTGTAAAAGGAGAGGCTTTCCACACTGGCTTACAGGAAACGACACAGACAAGTCTGTTCAATTCAGTATTAATAAATGAACCAATACACACGGTCAATCTGGCACCCATGAAAGGGTTAAAAGGCAAATTAGTTGCAGTGTTAACGCACTTAAACTATCGGAGATTCTTTGCCTCTTAGTACTATAACCACTACTATAAGCTATAGTTGTCATGGTGCCTTTCTTCTAAGACAAAAAAAAAAAAAAGTAAAAAGTTTTTACCCTCAATTTTCTGGGTCCTTCTCTTGTGAAGCCTTTTCGTTTGCTTGGAGTAAGCATGGTAATCATTTTATCAAGTCCTCTTTCTAGACTTCCAAAAACCTTTGCTCCTTTCTTTTTTTGCGCACTATCTAAATGTGCTTGGTTCAAGTCCAATTCCACAGAACGACACCTATAAAGAAAGATACAAGGGAAAAAAAATAAACTTATCAAAAAAGTAGTGAAAGTTTAAAGCCGTCAACCTTTCTAAAATCCTGCATTAAAGGCTTTTCCTTGCTATGCAGCACCACCCAATGGACATTCCTTTAATAACATTGCCAAAATCAGGCAATGTTTTGACTAGACTTGTACATGGGCTTTGGAGATACAGAATTTGGCTGAATTCCAAAGTGCCACACAAACATATACCTGATCAAACATCTAGTGAATTTGGTATTCTGAAATCTGACTATGGCACCCCAAAAAAGTTAATAAATAAAAAGTAAATGCTGGCTAGGGGATAGCCATTAAATGTTTATTTTATTCACAGATCAATTGAGAAGTGACCAACAGAGGGAAGAATAGGAGAAGCCCCACTATTACTTTTTTTGGAAAAACTAAAAAAGAAAAAAGAAAAAGAAAAACAAAAACCTCTCTGGAGGGCTACCCTCACCTGAACATGTATAGGGACGTCTAAGGGTGCTGCTTGGGGCAAATTAAATTGAGATAGAGAATATGATGGCAGATAAGAATCGTTTAGCCCATCTAGTTTGCCCAATTCTCTAAATACTTTCATTAGTCCCTGGCCTTATCTTAAGTCTAGGATAGATAGATCCATCGAACTTATTCACTAAACAACAATCCCACCATGCCGAAGTCTAATTTACACTAGAATGTTGAAGTTCATTCTACTGACTGTACTCCTATATTGAAGACAAGGCATGCCCTTTTGAGATAGGAAATTTTTGAGGTTGAGTTTCTGAATTTTTTTTAATTTTAAATATTCAGAACTTTTTTTTTTTTAGCAATTGCTAATTTGTCTTATTCTATCTATTCTATCAATGCAATCAATGGTAAAATGTAAAAAGGAACAAAAATGCCCAGTGTATAAAAAAAAATAAAAAATAAATAAAAAAGTGTAACAGTTTTATATACAAGGAAAGCGAGCACAAATCTGGCAACTGTGAATATATTTAGCTATAGTCCCCAATCATCAATATAGTCCCCAATCTTCCAGGCATTCTAGGGATGACCACTCCTCTGCTGATTTACATTTGTGCATTATCAGTGTCAATTTCACAAAGGGATTGACAAAGACAGGGAGGCAATGCCCAGACTCATAGCAACATAACGACTACACTAAGTTGGAGTGCTTAATGTTGCTTAGAGTATCTTTATAAAATCATTAGAAGAACAAAATTCAAACATGTGGCCTGTCACAATAGATGACCTACTCCATTATAAAGTAAATCAGTACAGACCGAGAGCAAGAGAAGTAGGAGTATTGCAGTTGGCAGGTTGTACATAGACCAGCAAAAAAATAGAACCCAGTAATTATCAGCCACGAAAAGCAAACATGAATGCTAAAGCTACTTACAAGATCAGAACAGAGACATGCTATTGATGTATTTCAGTGGGTGTAATCTGCTATTGTAAATAAAGTAAAATGATAAATAAAAAAAAAATACAAACTTAGCCTAGACACGGGACTGAAATTCAGAAATATTTTAAAATTGCCAACATTTGGGCGGTTTTTACTTACCGCCTTTCTGGACTAATAACAGAAATAATATCTGCAGTAACCGCTTGCTTCTTTGAAGGTGCTTCTCGTACATGGGGACTTTTCTCTACTAAAAGAATAGACAGAATAAAAAATAAATAAATAAATAAATAAATAAAAAAAAGTATTTGCAGTGGAGGCGTTAATGAAGAAATCCAAAACTATAAATGGTACATAGTATTTGTTTTCCACTTTTCTTTGTGCTTAGTTTTTGTAAAAAACAGTTATACAGGATAGAAATATATTGTGCATAATTATTAAATATTGCCACAAATTCCTCGCCTCTGATCATTTTATATCTTCACTGGATGTCAGGTGGTTATTGTAGGTTTATGGTTTTGCTTTTAAAATTGGCACAGTGAGAAAAAAAAAAAATAATATATATATATACACACACACACACACACACACACACACACACACACACACACACACACACACACAAACCCCGAACAAAAAAACACCCAAATTAAAAAAACACCACAATAACACCGTCCCTTATAACAACATCACACACAGCCCCCTCCTTTGCATTATAGGCAAAAATGAGACACCTTGTAATCATCTATTTCCTCGTTTATGATTCTTATGACTTTACAAAAAAAGTGTTAAAGGGATTCTCTAGTGCCAGGAAAACAAACCCGTTTTCCTGGCACTGTAGAAACCTGGAGTGCCCCCCCCATCCAACATCACTGAAAAGGGTTAAAACCCATTCAAACACTTACCTGAATCCAGCACCGATGTCCTTCTGCGCTGGGTCAGGTTCCGCCCACACTCCTCCCCCACCGCCGCCAGAGGGGAAGACCTAATGCGCATGGACGGCAATGGCTGCGCTCGCATTAAGATTTCCCCATAGGAAAGCATTATTCAGTGCTTTCCTATGGGGATTCCGGCAATGCTGGGGGTCCTCATGCATAGCGTGAGGACGTCCAGTGTCGTTTAGACGATCAAAAGTCGCCTAAGAACCCGGAAGTCTGTCAGACAGCCACAAGGAGTAGTTAACCCTAGCAGGTAATTATTGCAGTTTATAAAAATTGCAATAATTGGACGTGCATGGTTAATGGGCTGAAGTGGTCTGGTTACCTACAGTGTCCGTGTTACCAGGCTATGAAACATTTATTGCCAGAAGCACAACTGAATATCTACCTTTTGGTGGAGCCAGTGAATTATGGTTTGGAGTGGTAAGTACCCCTCTCCTCTTTGAGAAAGGTGTCCATGGAGCTGGTTGCAAAAAGGGACTATCTGACTTTGGTGCTTTGGTATCGAAGTTCTCTTTATTTTCCTGTTTCTTTGTAGTGTAACTTTGCTTTCCTGGAGTTACCGATGGGGAGTTAACCGTTTTTATTTCACAGTGGTATTTAGAGTACTGAAAGAAATAATCGGGCAAAAAAAAATTAATTAAAACACAGACATACTACACAAATAATAGATATTGCATAAAATGTTATAATATCTATATATCTATATCAAATAATAATAATAAATGCTCCGTGAAGTGCTTACACTGATTTCTCACCAATGCAAGAAGGGAGTCAATTAAATTTGGTTCAGTTAGACTTTTTTCCCTCAACTTCGGAGCCTCTGAACGGAAATGGAGGCAAGTTTTTGAAAAAGGAGTTTTGTAACAATTTTATGGGAGGAGGGCATGCTGGGTCTTTTTTTGTGTGGAGTTCAGCATGTATTTAACATTTTAGACCGATACAGCTCAACTAAAAACCCACTTCCCAATTTGGTAACAATGGTAAAACTCTACTTTCCCCACTAGACATATCTGTGTGATTTATGCATGTCTCTATCCAAATGATGATGATTTGCATGGAAGTATAGATCAAACTGTCATTAATTATGGTTTTTATCTGACGAGGGGAAGCTGCAGGCTAGTATGGTCTGTTTCTGATCCAATTAATTCTGCTAAACAGTCTGGAAAGTGTAAAAATTATTTAAAAAGCCACCACGCAGTTAAGAGCACTACTCTCTGTGCGGGGGAACGTAGGGATGCGCCCGTATGCATCCAGGGGCAGAGTTAAGGAGGTTCGGCGAGGAGAAGCTAAGAAACGCCGCAACATGGTTTTGGGAGCAGCTTCTGAACGGCTACCTCACTGATAGGAATGAGGGCAGCTGAAAACAGTGAAGCGGTGATATATCCCCTACAAAACAAGAAGCAGGAAATGCAGAAGAAACGCTGGTGCATAGAGGAGGAAAGGAACTGGCAGACGATCCATGTGCTCGTAATCTCCCCTACCCTATCCTGTATGGAAATACCGATTTCAGTCTAAAGAAAAGGGTAAGATCTGACAAAGTGATAAAAGTAGTTATTGGTCGAATTCTCTTAATTTAAGGAGTATTACAGTCTTTGTAATAAGAGTGGATATTTCATGTTAACGAGTAAGAGTTAGTATTGAATTTTGATCCACAACTCAATCGGGATAAAATTGCCTGTTTTTTTGGGGGGTGATTTCCATTTTTTATAGATTGCAAGTGAGTTGATGGAATATGCAACACTGGCTTAAAGCCTACAGAGAGCATATCAAACCTTTTGCACCTCATTAGGAAGGCGAGTTTTACTTGCTTCCAGCAAATACAAAGGAGAAGAGAGATTTGAAAACTCCATACTCATTTGAGTTATGGAACAAATACAGGGTTGGGTGAAGTGTAGTGATATCTGTATGCAGGCAAGCCACTGTAAAAGGTCACTCAAACCTTAAAACATCCAATAGAAACAGAAAAAATATATACAGGGCGCCACAATCACCAGATAAATAAACGAAAAAGATGAAGATAATATTGTTTTATTTAATAATGTGCACCAACAATGTGCAAATAGTATAAAATATATTCACATAAAAAGCCTCAATAGGCTAAAAGACCCATAGGTATAGCAGCTCTTATATAACATGAAAAAGTGCTAAATGCTAAAGTGCAGACAATGATATAAAGTGCAGAGTGCAACTCCCATCACTTTAAGCTGGTAAACATAAACAATGTCCACAACTAGTCACATAGACAAAAAAAATCATGTGAAACAGAAACTGCTGATACCAAAGTAGAAGGGTCCCCAATGCTGCTCAACGCGTTTCGTCCTTGAGACTTCGTCAGGAGCTTCTTGATCTTCCCTCTTTCTTCTCTCTTTTAAATCCGCCGGTCTGCCGGTTCTTTCGTGACCACGCATGCGCCCGTCACGCGCACCGTCATACGTCATGACGCACACGTGAACGTACTGCGCATGCGCGGCCACGTTGGAACGCAAATAACTTTATTGTTCAATGTACATAGTAGCAACTGAACGTCCTACAACAAGAACGTTCATAATACTACTGAGACTATCGGATGATTAAATAAACGTTGCTTCATAGGGAAGGGAAGAAGGGAGGAGGGGAAGAAAAAAATTTTAATAAACCACAAAATGTGTATATATATTAATATAGACCAAAAATCAATATAAAAAGAGGTGCATATAGCACAAATAGAGAAATTGTATATTTAAAAATATATCAAACAGGAGGGGAATAAAAAATAGTATAAAGCACATTTATTCTTAAGTAAATTGAATACTCATTTTTGACACTCATTTTTAACATAAAAAAAAAATAAATAAATAAAATACAATAGATGCAGTATCTAAGAAACAGGTTACACATATAAAGATCCTACATCATAATGGTAGAAAAACAGATACTGCATATATAAGAGGATATTATGTCCATAAACATAAAAATAGAATGGGGACATCCATAATAATACATAGATAACAGAGGTGAAAATGTTGAACTTTTTTTAAAAAATTGTCTTTTAAAAAATTGTCTTTTAAAACATCATAAAAAAAAAAAAAAAAAAAAATAAAACTTTAATCAATAAAGGATAAAATATCTAAATCTGTATTAAGACCCAAGGGAACAGATGATTTCATTTTATAAATCCATTCGGTTTCTCTTTTTGCTAACATCTTTTCTGTATCTCCCCCTCTCCAATGTGGTATAACTTTATCAATCCCTATACATATAAAATCTTTAAAATCAAACACATTGCATTCATTACAATGTCTAGGAACACTATGTTTCATATTCTTATTTTTAATCCCGTTAAAGTGTTCAAGTAATCTTATATGAAGTTTCCTAATTGTGCGTCCTATGTACTGGGCGCCACACTTACATTGTAACATATAAACAACAAATTGACTTTGACAATTAATAAAGTGCTTAATCTTAAAAGTTTCTTTGGTTACTGAACTACAGAATTCTATTACCTTATTTTTCTGAAACTTACACGTAGTACATCTCCCACATTTAAAAAAACCTTTAGGTTTTTCGGATAAAAAATTGATACCACTTTTGTCAACTTCCTTCTTAGGTAAAATGCTAGGGGCTAAAATACTTCTGAGGTTATTAGGCCTCTTATATAATACCTTGGGTCTCTACGGTAAAATATTCTTTAAAAATCTATCTTGTAATAAAATAGGCCAATTTTTACGGATCGTTTTCTCTATTAAGTTGGCTTTATTATTAAATTTAGTTAAAAAAGCGAATTCGAACTTATTACTGTCAACTTTCTTTTTACTCTTACGTTGAATATCAATTAAAAGATCTTTCCTTCGTAAACTTTCTACCCTCTTTTGTGTATTACATAGAAGTTCACTAGGGTAATTTCTATCAGCAAATTTCTTATTTAAAACCTGAACTTGCTCTCTAAAATCATCTTTTTCTGTACAGTTTCTAAAAATCCTCATATGCTGTCCTTTGGGAATATTGGTTAACCAATTACGATGATGACAGCTAGAGAACTCTATAAACCCATTGCCATCCGTAGGTTTGAAAAAGGTTTTACTAAAAACTTTTCCTTCTTTAATGAATAAGGTTAGATCTAAAAAATTGATAGATGTTTCATTAATATCAGATGTGAAATTAAGACCATAACTGTTGGAATTAATATACATTAAGAACTCATCAAGGCAACTTCTACTCCCTTTCCAGATAAACAGAACATCATCTATATAACGTCTCCATTGCACCAGGTTCGCACCAAATGGGTTGTTATGCCATATATTATTCCACTCCCAATCTGCCACAAAAATGTTGGCATAACTTGGTGCGAACCTGGTGCCCATCGCTGTTCCACATATTTGTAGGTAATACTGTCCTTCAAACCAGAAATAGTTATGAAATAAAATGAACCTAATAAGTTCCAAAATAAAAATAGCTTGATCAGGATTCATCTGGGGGTCATTGAACAACATGTTATGTATTGCCTTCAATCCTTTTTCATGGTCTATCACAGTATATAGAGATGTTACATCAATAGTGACCCAAAGATACTCATCTTCCCACTCTAGACCTTCAAATTCCCTAATGATCTGGGTTGAATCCTTAGTATAAGATCCAGTTGTAATAACATATTTTTGTAAATAAAAATCTATGTATTGGGATATATTACTCGTAAGTGAGCCAATCCCACTAATAATAGGTCTCCCTGGTGGAGAAACCAAACATTTATGTACCTTTGGCAAATAATAAAAAACAGCCGTTTTAGGTGAATTAATAAAGAGATATTGAAATTCATCTTTATCTATTATTCCTTTTTCCATACCTGACTGTAATATCTTGCGTAATTCTCCCTTAAAGCTAAAGGTAGGATTGTTGGCCAAGGTTTTATAAGTGTTGGAATCTCCTAATATTCTCTGGGATTCTTTTAGATAATCATCTCTGTTTAAAATCACAATACTGCCACCTTTATCAGCTTGTCTTATCACTATCCCTTTATTTTCTTTAAGTGCTTTCAAAGCTTGTTTTTCTTTCTTTGTCAAATTCTCTTTGCCTCTATTCTTAGAAAAATTCTCAAATTCGCTCATTATCATTTCACTAAAAACAGGTATATGGTCTCCTTTTTCCCATGTTGGGAAAAACTTTGATTTATTTTTAAAACCTGAATGAATAACCTCCGTTATAGTGTTATCAATATCAATTTGTGTCCCCTCAATTAATGGGCCATGTTGGCCATCATCTATTTTATTTTTAAAAACAGTCTCTTTTTTCTTCTCAAAAAATCTTTTAATTGTGAGTTTTCTTAAAAATTTCTGAGTATCAATAAATAACTCGAACAAATTAGGATCTGTCTGGGGGGCAAATTTTAGACCTTTATTTAAAATCTGTAATTGCTCAGTACTAAAAGTCTCATTAGACAAATTTAGAATACCTTCATTGTTCTTTACCGTATTTAATCTGACATTTCCCCTTCCTCTATTCCCCCTAGCCCTCCAGTTGCCCCTAGGAGCTTTCTCTTCTTGGGGGGAGTGCAGGTGATCTGTAAGGGGGAAAACCTGTTTCTGTGAGACCATGAATTTTGGTCTCGTGGTAGAGTGCTCCTTTGACGTTTTTCTAAAAAAACTTCACGTTGATCTTGTATATCTCTACCTTTCTCATTTGCAGTGGATTTTTAGAAACTGTACAGAAAAAGATGATTTTAGAGAGCAAGTTCAGGTTTTAAATAAGAAATTTGCTGATAGAAATTACCCTAGTGAACTTCTATGTAATACACAAAAGAGGGTAGAAAGTTTACGAAGGAAAGATCTTTTAATTGATATTCAACGTAAGAGTAAAAAGAAAGTTGACAGTAATAAGTTCGAATTCGCTTTTTTAACTAAATTTAATAATAAAGCCAACTTAATAGAGAAAACGATCCGTAAAAATTGGCCTATTTTATTACAAGATAGATTTTTAAAGAATATTTTACCGTAGAGACCCAAGGTATTATATAAGAGGCCTAATAACCTCAGAAGTATTTTAGCCCCTAGCATTTTACCTAAGAAGGAAGTTGACAAAAGTGGTATCAATTTTTTATCCGAAAAACCTAAAGGTTTTTTTAAATGTGGGAGATGTACTACGTGTAAGTTTCAGAAAAATAAGGTAATAGAATTCTGTAGTTCAGTAACCAAAGAAACTTTTAAGATTAAGCACTTTATTAATTGTCAAAGTCAATTTGTTGTTTATATGTTACAATGTAAGTGTGGCGCCCAGTACATAGGACGCACAATTAGGAAACTTCATATAAGATTACTTGAACACTTTAACGGGATTAAAAATAAGAATATGAAACATAGTGTTCCTAGACATTGTAATGAATGCAATGTGTTTGATTTTAAAGATTTTATATGTATAGGGATTGATAAAGTTATACCACATTGGAGAGGGGGAGATACAGAAAAGATGTTAGCAAAAAGAGAAACCGAATGGATTTATAAAATGAAATCATCTGTTCCCTTGGGTCTTAATACAGATTTAGATATTTTATCCTTTATTGATTAAAGTTTTTTTTAATTTTTTTTTTTTTATGATGTTTTAAAAGACAATTTTTTAAAAGACAATTTTTTTAAAAAAAGTTCAACATTTTCACCTCTGTTATCTATGTATTATTATGGATGTCCCCATTCTATTTTTATGTTTATGGACATAATATCCTCTTATATATGCAGTATCTGTTTTTTCTACCATTATGATGTAGGATCTTTATATGTGTAATCTGTTTCTTAGATACTGCATCTATTGTATTTTATTTATTTATTTTTTTTTGATGTTAAAAATGAGTGTCAAAAATGAGTATTCAATTTACTTAAGAATAAATGTGCTTTATACTATTTTTTATTCCCCTCCTGTTTGATATATTTTTAAATATACAATTTCTCTATTTGTGCTATATGCACCTCTTTTTATATTGATTTTTGGTCTATATTAATATATATACACATTTTGTGGTTTATTAAAATTTTTTTCTTCCCCTCCTCCCTTCTTCCCTTCCCTATGAAGCAACGTTTATTTAATCATCCGATAGTCTCAGTAGTATTATGAACGTTCTTGTTGTAGGACGTTCAGTTGCTACTATGTACATTGAACAATAAAGTTATTTGCGTTCCAACGTGGCCGCGCATGCGCAGTACGTTCACGTGTGCGTCATGACGTATGACGGTGCGCGTGACGGGCGCATGCGTGGTCACGAAAGAACCGGCAGACCGGCGGATTTAAAAGAGAGAAGAAAGAGGGAAGATCAAGAAGCTCCTGACGAAGTCTCAAGGACGAAACGCGTTGAGCAGCATTGGGGACCCTTCTACTTTGGTATCAGCAGTTTCTGTTTCACATGATTTTTTTTTGTCTATGTGACTAGTTGTGGACATTGTTTATGTTTACCAGCTTAAAGTGATGGGAGTTGCACTCTGCACTTTATATTATTGTCTGCACTTTAGCATTTAGCACTTTTTCATGTTATATAAGAGCTGCTATACCTATGGGTCTTTTAGCCTATTGAGGCTTTTTATGTGAATATATTTTATACTATTTGCACATTGTTGGTGCACATTATTAAATAAAACAATATTATCTTCATCTTTTTCGTTTATTTATCTGGTGATTGTGGCGCCCTGTATATATTTTTTCTGTTTCATTTGAGTTATGGCCTCAAAAGCTCAAGATAAAATAATGGCAAAAAAAGACAGGAAGAAAGACCCTAAAGGGGATAGGGCAGCTTAATTTCTTTTCTCACCATTCAGTAAAATAACACAGGAAAGGAAAATGGAAGAATCCGTATTATCCACATCTGGTACAGAGGATTCTGCAAGCAGTGTTAACTGCCCGAATGGTATAGCAATTACAGCAGAATTCCTAAGAAATTGCTTACAAGAACAATAAGAAGCCATAACTAACCAAATAAAAATTCTGAAGACAAAACAGATTGGAGGTCTGAAACAGAATTGAAGGAATGGAGGAAAAGAATTGAGAATTTAGAGTTCCAAGAAAAACAGTGGAAAGAACAGAATTCCTTACTGAATAAACAAAAAGAGACCTAGAAAGAAAAATGGGAGACATGGAAGACATGGAAGACCGAGCACGAAGAAACAACTTGCGATTGAGGAATGTTCCAAAGTCAGTTACACAATATAAAATTCTGGATTAATAAATAAAAAAAAAAAAAACCCACAAAAACACTGGCAGATATGGGAAATTGACAACAAAATTCAATTCCAGCACAGAGATGCCATCGGGGTTTTTAGACCAAAATCAGTACCAGAAAATCTGCCAAGGGATATAATTGTAAATTTTAAATTCTTTCAGATTAAAGATATTCTTCGCACAAACTGAATAAAGCCACTTAAGGAAGAAGAGGCTTAAATTATGAAAAGGAGGAAGCAAAAGGAGATAGAAGGTACATTAATTTTTATTTTTTGTATTACATTATCACTTAAGTGTTTTTTTGTGGTCTTATACTACTATAACAAGTGATTAAATTTTCAAGGTTCTGAGCATATGCAAGAATCTAAAATATATATTGGATAATTACTACAAAGTAAAGCACCAGTCAGATAATTCGATTCATTTAACAACTGGTTAACACAGGAGAGAAAAAAAAAAAAAAATTATATATAATATATATATAGTTAATACAATGCTAAACAAAAATCTGCACACCAGTCAAGCCATAAGACTTGCTTTTCCCACAGAAATCCCAAATCAGCAGTGATGTTACAACCGCAAAGGATTCTGGGTGGGCATATGCAAATTAGTTTAACAAAGAATCACATTCTTGCCTCATTCCATTTTAAACATGGATTCCTTTTAATTTGTGTTTGCAGTATACAACTGCTTGGAACACAATTTAGGATAAGATGCAAAACCAGTGAATCACTGGTTTCTATCACAATTTTTCCCCACCATAACAAAATATATATATATATATATATATATATATATATATATATATATATATATATATATATATATATATATATATATATATATATTTTTTATCAAAAGATATTTCAGATAGCACTCCCAGGACTTTGAAAAAGTATAAAACAACTTTTAATAAACTTTACAAAAAAACATCGACGTAACAGTCTGTTACTCACAGACTTTCATCAGGACTAATAATACAAATACTCACATATATACCAGAATAGAAAACATACAATTAACTTACCCACCACCGGAATAGACTAGTGCTCCCTGTCAGCCCTGTCCAAAACTCACGCGGCTTCCGCCAGCGTCAACGTGTGCGTACGTGACGTCACGTGATCGGCCGTTAGACTGCCTCATTGGGAGTTTGTTGCTATGGAGAATAGTTGTCCATAGCAACTTAGTTACAGTAAAACACAAAAACTCAATAGTTGAAAAGCATCATTAACCTCTAACTAATAATTTAGCCTGATTACTAGACCAGATGGATAGAGTGTGTGCGCGCGTGTATACATACATACATACATATATACATATATATACAGCCAAAAGTACACACACACACACACACACACACACACACACACACTATCCATCTGCTATGCAAGAACACTTATTATTGAGTGTTCTTGCATAGCAAGACCACTTAATGTTATCTCACATATATTATCCACATATATATATTTTTTTTTTTTTATTAATCCAGAATTTTATAATAATATATGTGAGATAACATTAAGTGGTCTTGCTATGCAAGAACACTTAATATGCTCAAGGTGAAAGCAAAATATATTATTATAGAAACAATAGAGCAGATAAGATATTAGCCAACCAGCAAAAAAATTTTATTAATCCAGAATTTTATAATAATATATGTGAGATAACATTAAGTGGTCTTGCTATGCAAGAACACTTAATATGCTCAAGGTGAAAGCAAAATATATTATTATAGAAACAATAGAGCAGATAAGATATTAGCCAACCAGCAAAAAAATAAATATATAAATAAAAATAAACGACTAACAGAATCGAGAAAATAAAGCAGGGTGACGAAATATATATCTATATCTATCTCCGGGGGAAATAGGGGAGGCTTTCAAAAAAAAAAAACCTATATGATTTACCGGATATGAAAAGAAGCAGTGAAATCGATTATATTTCAAATCTACAGAAAAATTAGATACAATTAATATAAAAATTACAAAAGAAGTAAAAAAGGCGATAGACAATTTAGTCTTGTTAAAAACTCCAGATCCGAATGGATTCAGCAATAGTTTTTATAAAACAATGAAAAATATCAGATAAGCTAACAAAGACCTTTAATAATGCAGTCACAGAGGGCAGGTTCCCCCGAGAAATTCTAAAAGCCAATATCTTGCCCATATTAAAGGAAGGCAAAGAGCCATCAGACATGATAAGCTACTGTCCTATCTCCCTTATTAACATGGATGTCAAACTTTATGCTTCTATTATTGCATCAAGAGTTAATCTTATACATCCCAATCAAATTGGTTTTGTACCAGACAGATTGGCTAGCAATAATATAAGAAGGCTGATTGATTATATTAATATGGTGGACCAAGGGAAGAGGCCCCTCCTGATCCTGTCGTTAGATGATGAAAAGGCCTTCGACAGGGTCAGTTGGGACTTCATGAAAAGGGCCCCTTGAGTCATTTGGTCTGACTGGATGGATACAAAGGGTGATTATGTCACTATAGGACCCATTAGCAAGAACTATAGGCCCCGATATATGCGCATCCTGGTTTGAGCTGAAAAATGGAACGAGACAGGGCTGTCCCCTATCCTATACATTTTTACAATTGAAGTATTGGCCATCAAAATAGGAGAAGTGAATGTGGCTGAAGGAAGTCAGTCCTCTTGGGGAGATGTACAAATATCCCTTTATGTGGATGATATTCTTTTGTATATTTCTAACCCTATTTTTAATTTACCTATGGTTTTTAAAATATTGGTTGATTATAGCAATGTCTCCAACTATAAGTTAAATAAGACCAAATCTATAGCTTTATAAAAATATACCAACAACTGAAATTAATAAAAGTCAACAGAACAATAATTTTTCTTGTCCCAAAGTCTTTACATATTTAGGCGTTAAAATGTGGAAATTTCAATAGACTGATGGAAAATAATTTCTTACATTTATTAAAGGAAACAAAGATTTGAAAGAATGGAGTAGAGCAGAGGTTCCGTGGTGGGGGAGGGTTAACGTTATAAAGGCCTATGTCCTCCCCAAATGGATATACATGTTTAGAATGCTGCCACTGGCCATCCCCATACCCTGGCTTGCTAGGATTAAAAGATCTTTCGCAAACTTTATTTGGAGAGGGGAAAAAACCCAGGATTAGACAGTCACTACTGTTAAATAAAATCAGGAAAGGTGGGATGGGTTTTCCCAATATTGAAACTTATCAAGCTGGGATAGTCTTCCATATAGCCCTTTTAATCAAAGAAATGGAAACAGATCTGTGGTAATGAGGACCTCTCAGCTATGATCTGGTCTCCCGGAGAGGGGAATCATTCTTCATCCTATGTATTAAGTCAGATTATCCCATTGTGGAATAAAATTAAGAAGAAATTGAAGATTAATGATAAACTATTGGATTTTCAAAATGTTGACATTATCAAATATTTCTTTAAATAATTGGACAGTAAATAAAAAAAACTTTTAAAAAAAAACTTGCTGAATAACGACAAAATTAAACATTTTGACTCTCTTATCGGGAAGTTCGGGTTGCAGAGTAGAGAGATCTTCAATTTCTTACGGATGAAGCACAATTTATAAAACTGTTCTCTTTAACGGAGAGTTGTATAAGCAGTTGAAATCAGTTTTGTGTTTTTTTTTTTTGTTTTTTTTTGTTTTTTTTTTTTACACACACACACACACACACACACCTTGAAGCAGCAGTTCTCTAAATGCATTAAAATTATTGATTTGGGGAGGGCCAAAACAACTCCCTTAGCAATACAAAGATGGGGGGAAAATTAAAAAAAAAAAAAAAAAATGTAAATATCCATATTGAAGGAGGAGTGGTGTTTAGCACTCCATAAAGTGAATACATTGGTGCATGGCCTATCCTTAGTTGAAACTCACTTTAAATTGATCAATAATTTTTATATGGTTTCATCCAGACTAGCAAAAATTTATCAAGAATATAACCAATTGTGTTGGAGATGTGGTACAGAACCAGGGAAATACCTACATATATGGTGGTCCTGCGAAAAGGTCATCCCCCTATAGACCTTCTCAGAATATCATATTTAATTAATCTAAAAATAGCCCGAAAACCAGGTAATATGCGGTTACATCTTAACTGGCCAGACATGACAAAGCTTCAACAATGAGTACTAAAGATAAAGATCGCAAGAAGTCGGCAAAAGGACCAGCATTTCATTCTCACCCAATTAATACCCCAATTAAAATTCCAAATAGAAAGACGAATGAGCTATATTAAAGGGCTTGTTAAACATGTAGCTATATGGGACAATTTGCCGTTACACTTTGAAACATTAGATAAGAACTAGGCTCTATAAGCAAAAGGAAGGAAGAGAAGGAGAAAGGCGGAAGAAAAAGGTGAAGAAAGAAGAAGAAAAAAAAAAAGTGAATGGAAGAAAAAGAGGAAAAGAGGAATTAAGTTAGGGAACAATAAAAAAGGATGTAGAGAATATTAGAATGATATAGTTCATGGACCAAATTACGCGCAATTGGTGAACATGTTTTTTTTAATTGGTGTTAATATAATAGGTTTGTATTTTTAATGATTTTTCGAATATGATCCATTTCTGACTGTAAAGGATAACACGATAGAGATTGTAACAAGAATTGTATGACAGTTTGTTTTATTTTTAGATGAAAAAAAAAAAAAAAAAGCACTACTCTCAATGTTATCCCAAAAAGCTCTGTGGCACCACTATATTGTAAGGGTGAAACACCAGTTTACCAAGTTAAATACACACCTCCTTTGGAGTGAGTGGTTCAATGCCAGCAAGTGGGTATTCATCGTAAAAAAGTTCATCATCCGAAAATTCCATGGATCCAAATACATATGGGAGGTCATCACGACAAGCGTCCTCACAATCAAGGCTGTGCTTCGACTAACAAAGGAAAGAACATGGTCATCAATAGTCCCTTACTACTCCAAGTATGTTTTTACAGCCTATCAGAAGAGCTCGATGTGGTGACACACAGCCCCAAACCTAGGATAGTCACATCTTCTCTAGGCTAAAGGGAAGAGGAACGCAATGGGATGGCGACCTTTCTTTGCTTGCACAGGATAGAGAACATGCATGCAGGCATCTCACCAAGCTTCACTGTGACAACATTTTCCTTCACCTTTTTACCAATATCACATACCTTATATCTATAGTGCTAGGAGCATCAGCCTACAATGAATTCGAACATGTTACAGTTAGGACTAATTTTTTTTAAATGAGGGCAGGGTGGTAGCTCTTTATTTAGGAGAGAGAAATAGGTGATTTCTTATCACTGTATGACACTTCAATGTAAACTACAAACCCCTGAAAGCACGTTAGCTTGCTGAAATCCTTTATGTGTGAACAGTGTTTCCTTATAAAGTACAGATTTCAATATAAATTGGCACTTTTAGAAAAGCCTATGGAATAACCTGCCTACCGCCATCAGACTCTCCGCTAGTCTTGCATCTTTTAAGAAGTGCCTTAAAACCCATCTCTTTAGGAAAGCTTATTGCCTCCAAGACTAACCTCTACCTTTCATACCGGTCTTCTATAGGGCAGCACTCTACTCTGTCCTCCAGCTCTGCTTCACTCTCAGCTTATTTGGTTGCTATTTCCTGTCCAAATGTGTTTTGTACCCCACCTCCTAGACTGTAAGCTCTTCAACATATTGTTCCTGTAAGTTTTCTTGTAATTATCCTATTTATAGTTGTATCTGTGCCCAATTAATGTATGTTGCAGGTTGCCGCCGTTAGTGTACCGAACACGTGGCGGCAGCCATCTTTGTTCTCGGAGAGCCAGCAGGGTTTTGTCGTCGAGTGCCTGGAACTAAGAGCCACTACAGGCGCTCCCTGGCTTTTCATGAAGGTGAACTGTGCATGAGGACATGCAGGGTCTTCAAAATCCCCACCTGAAAGCAGTGATTCAATACTTTCCTATGGAGGTGGTCCAATGCGAGCATGCGCATTTTGTTCCTCCATTGGCGTGACGTGACTAAAGGATTTCGATCCAGTGCAGAGGGATCTTCGTGTTGAAAAAAAAAAATAAAAAAAAATGAAAGCAGAGGGTCGAAAAAAAAAAAATGGTTTTTAAAAAAAATAAAATAAATAACCCTTTAATCACTGGGTGGAGGGAGGTGGGCTTTGCATTCCTAATGCTAAAGTGTTCCTTTAACCCCTTAAGGACACATGACATGTCTGACATGTCATGATTCCCTTTTATTCCAGAAGTTTGGTCCTTAAGGGGTTAAGGATTCACTCTATGAACCATAATTCCTACATCCCATTGGCTATTGGCACTGTACCTCAGTTCTGGACCAAACCTTTCTGCATTAACGAAATAGCACTTCGTGATTTTCATCAAAATTTAGATAGCATTAATAGACAGAACACCAGCTGGAAATATATCCACATTTACAATACAGTGTGCCGCGGGCACCTGGAAGACAGTGTGTCAAACCACTCAAAAATAGTTTTGACACTTAGCTGGTAGCAGACCAAGTAGTTTGAGCACCATAACAACTACAGCTTGGTGTAGTAGTCATAGTGCTGTCAAAATGCCCATTACATTATCATTTTTTTGTCAGATGTATCTCCCATTTAGTTTAACTCTGATCTCCAGTTAATTTGTAAGTTTTCTAAACACACAAACACGATCTTTTCTGGGTACCGTAAACTTTCAGATTGCGGCATATACCTACTCGAAGGTCTTTAAAAGAGCTGACAGGATGCTCTCTAACATGGACTGTGCGCATCATGCGAACTGGTTTGCCATGGCTCTTCTTTAACAGAAGCAGTAAATAGGTAGCTGTAGTTTGGTCATAATCCCACTAAAGATAAAACAAAAAAACATACATAATCATAACAGCAAAGTTTACTATAGTCTGCATTTTGAGAGTTTAAAGGGTTAATCCAAGCACCATATTAATGATTTGAAGTGTGTATGTGCAGTGTTTCAGTAATAAAAGTTGCACACACAGTTATTTGATTTTTCTGCTATAGCTGTATCTCCACAGGCAATATGATTAGCAACCTGTAACAAGAGTTCCAGGATGCCAATATTTAATGAGTGCATGCCAGCAAGGATAATCCAACCAAAAACCAGGGGTTGATTAATACACTTTTTGATTGGAGTGACCCTCCAAGCAGCATGTGCCACCTGAATTATTATTAGCATTGATGTTCTACACAATCATATCGTCTTGTCAAAAGGAAGCTCAGGCATCACCTGTACCAGCACTATCGCACACCCAAGAACACTTAGCATGTTCTATCGAGTTTAAAGACATACTGTTCAGGCATGTCTAGCTAGAGTTGGCATGTGCCATTAATTATGCAAGCTACTACCATGTGTTTAGAAAATATATCGTTTTCATGTGTTACCTTCATGTTTTACCTAAATCAACTAGCTAATCCTGATAAGCAAGCTAAATCATATCAGAGACGTGTCAGACTAGTTAAATCTGTTCCAAGAAAACAAAAATGTGTGAGTTTTCCATTTATATTTGGATAGTGTACGCGGTTGTGGTGTTTGACTTTGCCTTGTACTCACTTGCACAAAAAAAAAAAAAAAAAGTTTGATCACTAGGAACACTGCAAGCACCATACACGTTCCCTGGGACCTCACCAATGTATGCGACTTCAAGAACCCTCTATAATGTAATTTCACACTCAGACAAAGTAAATTGCAATTCTTAAAGGAGACACACACAAAAAATAAAATAAAGCCACACACAAAGGGAAGCAAACCAAATGGGTGCCCAAGCCTCATTTTCATAGGTTTTAGATTAACACGACTGGGTAACACTCTTAGTACGATAGAGCTCCATAAGCCCAAGTACAGCATAACCAAAAGGCAGTAGAAGTGAGGGGGCCACATTACCTCAGATATCAGATGTGATGTGCTAGTTTTACTATGCTTATAGAAAACCGACATCTCTGTAACACAGTCTTCATCAATGTATCCAAGCTGGAGAAAAAGAAATACAGATTTTAAAAAATTCTACTATTATACTATTAAAACACACACAAAAAAAAACCAAGTGGGCTGCACTCACCTGAATATGCATAGATTACAGGGTGCTGCTGGGCCAAAATATACAAAATACACAATCCAATGCACTCACTTATTCGCTAAACAATAGTTTTGTTTAAACTAAACAAAGCTTATTTGAATGGATGACGGTAATTTCAAGTTAATTCTTGCCGTTTATGTGAAGTGGGAGGAGATATACATCACAAAATCCACAATAATTTTAAATCTCACAGATTGTAATATTTTTATTTAAAAACACCTCACCTTGTCAAAAAATAATGGGGGTTTAGTTACAATATATGATCATATATTGCATAAGCATGCCACAACGTCAATAGGCTGCTAGAGAAGGACATGCCAAGAATGGGGTAGATTGACGTTGTGGCAGGCTTATGCAATATATGATCATATAATGTAACTAAACCCCCCCATTATTTTTTGCCTACGTGAGGAGTTTTTAAATAAAACTATTACAATCTGTGAGATTTAAAATGCATTGTGTATTTTGTGATATACATCTCCTCCCACTTCACATAAACAGCAAGAATTAACCGGAAATTACCGTCATCCATTCAAATAAGCTTTGTTTAGTTCGTGCAACATGAAAATATTTAAATAACATTGGAATGAGATCAGCAATCAAGGTAAAAGACATGCAATTACTTTTCTAAAATGCTTTCTATTGTTAAATGGGAACTGTCACTTTTCTAGAACTCACACTATTCAATAAAAAAAAAAAATATATATATATAAGTGTTAAATGTTTTTTATTTTAATTTTGGCAAATTACATTATAATTCTGTTCAGACAAGGTAAATGCTGCAAATTAGAAGGAGAAATAGAAAGTTTGTTTTTTCTTCTCTGCATGCGGACTACCAGAACTTATAACAATGATAAACAGGGATCTTAAATGGAGGAACCTAACAGCAGAATGAAGAGGTGAGGATTTCTACATTTAAATTGTATTTGACATACTTTACAGATAAATGTGTTAATTAAGTAAACATAATATTAAAACAAACGATGAGCACCAGGATCACAAAAGCTTATGGCAGTGGGAAAACTGCACGAAGTATTTGGGTGCAGCCTCTTCATATTCTTTAAAAAAGTTTGAGCAGTTTGATTTCATCATTGCCTTCAAAGTGACACATTATGTGCAGGGTATGTTTTCCTGCTGTGTAGTCTCCATGGATAAAACTAGACTTACTGGACTTTTGCTTTGCCACTCCACTGGATAGGAATAACCCTGTATGAGCCATGGGTGATTCAACAGATGCCTGACTGTAATCCTTTTCTTTGGATCGACCTGTTGATAACATTTGCAAATCAATATAATTATATTTCAATATGTCTCAATAGAATTGAAACCTTTAAACTCTTAAAGCACCTGGCAGCACAACAATGCCATGATTGGTCAGGAACCCTAGCGGATAAGTATCTGTCACCATTGCCAAATCTCCAGCCTTTTTCTTCGGCCCTATTGCCAAAAGAACAGATTGTCACTGACCACCCAGGCCTTGTTACCTTCTCTCCCTTGCAAAGAACCAGGATAAAACCTTGGAAAATACCCCCTTCATGTCTGGCAGAAAGGCTGGCTTGTTGAGATCCTAGGGGTAGCAGGCTTGGTGACAGTCTCTAAACACCATTCCGTGCAACCATTTGGTATTGGATACAATATACGTAACATTTAACCAATAGGGTACACCAGGAGTGTGGAGTGCAGGATTCAGGAGGATCTAAAGAGATATAGACCATATCTCCCTTCAGACAGAGGGCCCTCAATGGACTTGTTAATGCTTTAAAAAAAAAATAATTAAAAATCACCTCTAGTATACGTGAAAAGTTATAATCGAGATGAAGGTTTTAGTCTCAAAATGGACGATCCTAAAAACAATATGTATAAAGAAAAACAGAACTCTGTTCCAACTATTATGATAACATACGGTCGTGATAAATAATAAGTATATAAAAGTCTGAAAGATACTTTATTTGGAAAAAGCAAAAAACACAAAAAACAGAAATAAACCCTGGCTATAACTGCCTGACTCAAAAAAAGAGTCAATTAAATAAAACAAGACTAAGTGAAAAAATAAAAAAATAAAAGCCATAGCGATGTCTAACAACCTCTAGATGTACAGCATAGGTCATCTGATAAATGACTGTATATCAAAGAGAAAATCCGATAGAATATTGTATCTATAGGTTAGCGCTGGATCCACTGCTAAGTTGAAAAGATCGCCATAGCGATGTCTAACAGATAACCTCTAAATGTGAAGCATTGGTCATCTAATAAGTGACCATATGTCAAAGAAAAAAAATCCAATACGGTGTTGTATCTATATATTTGGCATTGTATCCACTGCGATAGAGTTGTCGTGCACAATTCACTTGAGGAAATACTGCTCAAAAAGACAATCCAAAACCACTTTGTCTATAATCAGAGCATATGAATAACTTAACTGCTAATAAGCATTATATCCTAAACAGGAATAAATTTATAGATCCGGGTATGACACTATTTTGCTGTGATATAGATATAGATTATATACACACACTCACAGCAAAACTCCATAATCTGTGTCCGTAATCTCCTTATTGCTAGACCAATATCAAGAATTAGTGTAGCGTATTAGAAAGGTGCCTTTGTGGGCATCTGGTATAGGACAGGCAATAGGAAAGGATAGAATCTTAATGTAATGGCACAGAGAGCCGTGGGATTAGCAGTTGATAAAGTAGTGTCTTAACTAAAACATAATGCTCCTAACACCCTGATCGGTCACTCGTCTATCTGTGATGCCTAGACGGCCATCAGCCAGCTAGGTTCAATAGGTACCTCAATAGCTATACAATGTAGCCAGTGGTCCAGGTCCGCCCTCAAAAAAAAAAAAATTATAATAAATGAAGGTGACCAAAGACACAGAAGACCGAGCTGATATAGTGGTAGAGTGGCAGGTATCGTGCCCCAAAAAAATATGTACCATATATACTCAAGTATAAGTCTAGTTTTTCAGCACATTATTTGTGCTGAAAAACCCACACTCGACTTATACTCGAGTCAGTGTCTGTATTATGGCAACTTACATTGCCATAATACAGACCAGGACCGCCGGGCTCATTACAAGCCCGGCGGTCCTTTTGGGGGCTGGCAGATAGCTGTTACTTACCTTCCTGCAGCTCCTGTCAGCTCCCTTCTCCTCCACTGAAAGTCTCGCTGTGTGACTGCCGCGCGGAGTGTTGCCACGGTAACCTGTGGCAATGCTCTGACCCCGCGGCTCTCACAAGACTTACAGTGTAGCTGACTGGACCAGAGGAGAAGGGAGCTGACAGGAGCTGCAGGAAAGGTAGGTAATAGCCCCCCTCCTACACAGCCCATCCACTGGACCACCAGGGAATGAGAGCCCCCCTCCCTGGCCAGCTAACAAGCAGGGAGGGGGGACGAAAATGAAAAAATTAAATAAAAAATAATAATATTACAATAAAAAAAGTAAATATTAAAATTAAAATAATAAAATTAAAAAAAAATACTAAAATAAAAAAAAATTTAAAATAAAAATTCCCTCCCCCACCCAGTTCACACACAAACACACACTCATACAAACACACACTGCATTACACACACACACTGCATTTATATACACACTCATACAAACACACACTCTGCATTATATACACACACACACTCTGCATTCACACAAACACACACACTCTGCATTATATAATGCAGAGTGTGTGTTTGTATGAGTGTGTCCGTACATAATGCAGAGTGTGTGTTTGTATAAGTTTGTGTGTATAATGCAGAGTGTGTGTGTGTATATATAATGCAGTCTGTGTGTTTGTATGAGTGTGTGTGTATATAATTATAAAAATCACAGAATTTCATAGCCCCAAGTTTTACCCTCGACTTATCCACGAGGCATAGCATATTTCACAATTGTTAGTCACAAAACTGCACTCGACTTATATATGAGATCGACTTATACACGAGTATATACGGTATAATCACAAAACGTTTAAATAATCCAGTAAAAAAAAACAAAAAACACCACATCAGAATGAGTGAATATGCAAGAGCGAGTCTACATGACGCAAGGATACCAAAGTGAGTCACAATCGTCTTGTAAAGCTCACACAACTATATACAGCCACCAACTCGTTTGCAGATTCATTTAGAGGCAAAAGACAGCACATGATTAGAAATACCCCAGAGACATAAATATTTGATGGTTCTGAGAGATAATGGTGATCCTATTACCAAAGTTTGGATATGCCAAAACAGACTCAACATAAACACAAGATAATAAAAAAAAATAAAAATAAATAATAAAAAAAAAAAAGCGGCTAAATACACCCCTCCCAATCTACATTTCTGCCAGTAGCGTTCTGTTTACAGGAACTGTAACCAATCCAAAATTACATTACGGCTATAGGCCGCAAAACAAAAATCAGCTAAAAAAAAAAAAAAAAAAAACTAAAGCAAAATTGCCATTATAAAAGCATGTTAACATACAAAGAACAGGTTTTTCCATTAGGCCAAGAACCAGAGCAGCATAATTCAGAACAAAAAAGGATTTAACTCCTAAATAGCAGAGAAGTAATCAGTGGCATGAGATATACACAAAAAATGCTTCATTAAACTAAAATGGTTTTGGTGCTTCGAGTATCGGTTTAAAAACAAAATATTCTTAGAGGTTAAAGGGACACTGTAGGCACCCAGACTACTTTTGCCAATTGAAGTGGTCTGGGTGCAAACTCCCAGCACCCTTAACATGTAATTATTGCAATTTTTATAAACTGCAATAATTATCTGCTAGGGTTAACAGCTCCTCCTCTAGTGGCTGTCTATCAGAAAGACACTAGAGGGACTTCCAGGTTCTTAGACATAGTCTATACGACGCTGAACGTCCTCACGCTATGCATGAGTACTTCTAGCGTCACCGGAATCCCCATAGGAAAGCATTAAATAATGCTTTCCTATGAGGAGATCCTAATGCGAGCAGGGCCATTGCCGGGCATTAGGTCTCCCCTGCCGGCGGATGTCGGCAAGGGAGGAGTGTGTGCAGAGCTGAGCCAGCTTCGAGGGACATCGGCACTGGACCCAGGTAAGTGACAGAATGGTTTAACCCCTTCAGCTCCGCAGGAAGTGGCCCTTGACAGACAGGAAGCTTTAGTGTCCGGAAAACAAGGTTTTCCTGGTACTATAGTTTCCCTTTAACTTCTTAGAGTAGATCTATTCTTCAGCAACACTGTGTAGGCTTACACATGGGAAAAAAAACAAACAAACAAAAAAGGACACTCATATCACACTTCGAAGCTCCTAAATTCTGCCCCTCCACATGCCTGGTTTACCGAGGCTTGTGCATTTTTACAATAAATTATATACATATTTGTGTTCTCTATTTACTCCATTTATTTTTATACACTTGTTTTGGAGTCTATGGCTGCGTTGGGCCCTGTGTGCAGTGTTTTCTTATCAATACAAACTGTGGATCAAGAGACATTCAAGTATTCTTGCATTGTAATGCAGATGATCTTGTAAACTGGACAAGTTTGAGAGTCAAATCTGTTTAAAATCTACTCATTTAGGGGTCAATAAGGAATTTTTTCCCAAGTGTGTTGCAAAATTGGAAGCATTTCAGACTGGGGTTTATGCCTTCTTTTGGATCAACAGCAAAAAACATATGCGGATCACCTGGCAACCCGACTGGGCACCTCCGCCAACAGATGCTTCATAGCTGACGCTGAGGACCGCAAGCACCGCACCGGACACCACAAGCACCGCAGACTCCACGACTGACCTGGCCTAGCTGGGGTCTCGCCATCTTCCTCCCACCCTAGACCAACCACTGATATCCAGAACCTACTTCAGAGAGCATAGCAGGAACAGCTCTTATAAAAGCTAGTGATTAGAACCCATGGGAGTATAGCAATCCCCAGTGTGAATATAGCAGTATAGCAGTTCCCCTCCAATCACGAGACCAAGCTACGTGTTGGAGACAGGGACACAAACGTATACACCAATCATAATAGAGTTACAATCTAAAGCACTCCCCCACATAATACAATAATACTTCCCCTTTACTTAGGAGATGATAGAGTCAAGCAACTCTACTAAACTCAATTATCTCCAAACACAAAAAAACTTAAAACACATAAAATCCCCACAAGAGTTACATCCCATGATAGCCCCAATCTGTGTGACCAACATATCCAAAAATCACCCAAATCAGTTATGGAAGTCATGTATTTGCGGCAGGCCTAGTTCGGTAGTTTGCAAACGAACAAACTACCGAACAGAGTCAATAGTCTTACCCTGGAGCTTGTTCCCTTCATCCAGACGAATGATCTCACCAAACAGTGCCCTGCTAAGCTGAATAGAAACAAACGCATGTGATGATGGAAGTACATCGGTGTTCGGGAGTTTCTGTATCCGATTTTAGTTCCAGGATCTTCATGCCCAAACACTGTTGCCTGCGTTCATGCAAACAAGATGGCTGCCACCTTGTGGTTGTTCATAGGAAACGCGGCCACCCAGTCGAACAATTAGAACACCGAGGTGAGAAAAGTTCCAAGTTGTTAATAGGTGTTAACAAGCTCCAGGGTGGTCTCTGTTCGTTCAGTATTTTAGTTTGAAGTATTTTAGCCAGGTCTATTGCACACATACATTTTGCAGATGTTGTTCCTATATTTAAAAAGGGTTCAAAATTCTTGCCTAGAAATTATAGACCTGTGAGCTTAACTTCTGTAACTGGGAAAATATTTGAAGGGCTATAAATGGATAATATTCAGGAATTCATTGGGAAGAACTGTGTTATTAGCAATAATCAGCATGGTTTTATGAAACATAGGTCATGTCAAACTAACCTAATTGCATTCTACGAAGAAGTAAGTAGAAGTATAGATCAGGGTGTTGCAATGGATGTGATCTACTTGTATTTTTCCAAGGCATTTGATACGATTCATCACAATAGGTTAGTCTTCAAACTACACACGAGAAGGATTTGGGAATTGTTATGGACAACAAATTGAACAGCAATATGCAATGTCAATCTGCAGTTGCTAAGGCCAGTAAGGTTTTGTCATGCATAAATAGGGGCATAAATTTTCGGGATGAAAATATAATTTTGCCTCTATAAATCGCTGGTAAGACCACACCTTGAATATGCTGTGCAATTTTGGGCACCTGTTCTAAATAAGCATATCATGGCACTAGAAAAAGTGCAGAGACGAGCTACAAAATTGATAAAAGGAATGGAGCATTTTAGTTACGAAGAAAGGTTAAAAAATGTAAATCTGTTTAGTTTGGAAAAACGGTGCCTGAAAGGGGATATGATAATATTATACAAATATATTAGGGGCCAGTACAAACCATTAGCTAGAAATCTATTCATAAACAGGGCTCTACATAAGACACGAGGTCACACATTTAGGCTGGAAAAAAAGGAGATTTCATCTAAGGCAAAGAAAAGGTTTTTTTACAGTAAGAGCAATAAGGATATGGAATTCTCTGCCTGAAGAGGTGGTTTTGTCAGACTCTATACAGATGTTTAAACTGCAATTGGATAAATACTTGCAAAAACAGAACATACAGGGATATAATTTCTAATTAGTGGGGTAATAGCTGCTTGATCCAAGGAGACATCTGACTGCTATTTTGGGGTCAAGAAGGAATTTTTTCCTAGTTTGTGGCAAAATTGGAAGCGCTTCAGACTAGTTTTTTGCCTTCTTTTGGATCAACAGCAAAAACCTATGTGACGAAGGCTGAACTTGATGGACGTAAGTCTCTTTTCAGCTATGTAACTATAATATATACTGAAATCCATACTTTTTACGTTTTATGAATTTTCTTCATAATATATTACCCTTTCAAAAAGAAACATGCTAGGCACCACAACCACTACAGCCTACTTTAAATCAGCGTGCCTGTACAACAAGGAAATGGAGTTGCTGCCATGGCCAATGACCATGGAAATAATGCATTTTCAATTTTTCTTTTTTTTTTGGTCCATTTACAGTAGTAGAGGGTCAGCGCTGATAGAACAAACTGGAAAAGGGAAATTAAGGCAGCTTTCCTCCAAAAGGAAGGGAATCCCTCTATCCCTATCCACCTGCACCCTATCCATAGAGCAGTTTGTCTGCTCTGGCAAATGTGAGTAATATTCTCATATTTATTCTTCTGGTTGATTTTATACAGTGAGCACTATTGTTTGTATTTATTTTTTGGTCCACACATCACTGAAACCATTCTTCACATATCCTACAATTGGGAATTGTACGACTGTACGCCTTTCATACTAGAGCTGGTTTGAAGCTCTAACACAAAAAAAAAATAAAAAAAATAAATAAAAGTGAGTAGGACCATATATACTTTTATTCTTATATTTTCTGGACATACTGCACCATTATCCTCGCCTTCTTTCCGCATCTGATATCCCAACAATAAAATTTTCCTTGAACAAGTTTGATTGCTCCTCCGGAAAGTATATACCGTAATACTGAATGCATGTTTGAATGCGGAATTTACCACAGGTGGAAGCTACATGCAGTGGGTAACTTTGAATGCGTGCAGTGTTAGCATTTCAACCTTTTTTTTTTTAACTATTTAAAAAAAAAAAAAAAGTGGATGGGCTCTCGCGAATGAAACCCTACAAACGACATTAAACCTGAGCACACAACTTGCCTGACCGCAGAACACAACTAAGCCTGTTCCCGACACCGGTGATGCTGGAGATAGCTCTCAGGTGCTTCTCCGCCACTGGAAACCCTGACTCAAGGCTCTGCGGCCTACCAGCGACCGGGCGGGGAGAGGCGGCTCTCCTACTGCTTTGCCTGGCGGTAAGACACTCAAACAGGTCCCCCGCTCTCCTATGGACCGGCGGGGGTGATCCCAGTCCCCCCTGGCGGACGAGTTCCCTGAACAGGGGCACGTGCAAGAGCTGATCCTACTGAATTTCATAGACTGCATGCTGCAATGCCTAGACAGGGTATTTGAGAGGTTTTGGCAGTGACTGGAGGCTACAGCACTACCCTCACAGCCTACGCCGCATCGGAGACCCCCAAATGCACGAGTCACTGCCTGGCACTGACCTGGAGAGGCAGAGGGCCACGTCGGCTGCCGCCGCAACGCTCAAACCAAGAAGACAGAAACCAGGTACCCGTATCAGGCGTAAGACAGCCCGAGTCCCTCACGGCACTCGGGTGGAGATGACAACGGCCTCACCAACAACAGACCCCCTTGCGGGGGTCTGATGCCGGTAAGAGCACAGAACATGCCCTGACATATTTACCTCGTGCCGCAAAGCCCAGAGACACTCCCGCGTTACCGAGCAGAGGCATAGGCTACACCAACTGTTCCCCACCGCAGCCCAGCAGAACACTGCACACCCGTGTTGCTGGGGCTCCATCTACAGGAATCGGATGAGTAGATATGGTCACGGACCGACTTCAACCAGAGACTCTAATACCACACAGTCAGACCCTTACTGCAGGAAAGGGCCAGCGGTTTCTATGCTACAGTACACTACTTTATAATGTATTATTTCGTCTTATTCTATAAAGTGTCCATGTAAGCAAAACCATAGAGAATAAGCTAAAGATCTTTGTTTTTCATATTGTGCCTACTATGAATGACAGCCTGAATGTCCTACTATTAACACTTGCCTAGCAACGGCTAGCTATACATATTTGCATTTAATTCTGTAAGCTTTACCTATAAGCACCGTGTCTGCTTCACCAAACACGCAGCAGCCTAATCTTGGGCAGTGTTGTGCTAACTGTTCTCAGCTATTCTACCCCATAAACAATATAGATCTACAGAGTTAGCCTGAGAATGTTTGGCTACGATCTAGTCTATTAAATGTACATGCCTGTCGTGAAGTTATTATGTACCACTCAATGACAGCTTTTTTGCTGCAAGCACTGTGTCCATTTAGCCAGCAGCATTTGCATAAGTGAAGTCATAAGACTTGCTTTTCCCACAGAAATCCCAAATCAGCAGTGATGTTACAACCGCAAAGGATTCTGGGTGGGCATATGCAAATTAGTTTAACAAAGAATCACATTTTTGCCTCATTCCATTTTAAACATGGATTCCTTTTAATTTGTGTTTGCAGTATACAACTGCTTGGAACACAATTTAGTATATATATATATACATACGTATACACACACACACACACACACACATACATACATACACACATATATATATATACATACATATACACACACACACACACACATACATACATACACAACACGTCATGTTTTCCCTCTTTCACTCCTCTGATCATTTCTCCTTGACATGTATACCTTGCTAACTTACTTAAAGGGACACTATAGTCACCAGAACAACTACAGCTTATTGAATTTGTTCTGGTGAGTAGAGTCATTACCTTCAGGCTTTTTGCTTTAAACATGGTCTTTTCAGAGAAAATGTGATAACTTCACTGGCCACTCCTTAGATGGCTGTTAGAGATCCTTCCTGGGTCATGGCTGCATAAAATGCATCCAAACATTCAGTGTCTCCTCCCTCTGCATGCAGACACTGAACTTTCCTCATTGAGATTCATTGTTTCAATTCATCTCTATGAGGAGATGCTGATTGGCCAGGGCTGTGTTTGAATTGTGCTGGCTCTGCCCCTGATCTGCCTCCTTGTCAGTCTCAGCCAATTCTATGGAGAAGCATTGAGATTGGATCAGGCCGCCACTTCTGATGTCAGCAGACAGCTTGTTTTTCTGACCATCGTGTCAAAACTACTATTTAGGTGGCTTGCCACCCCCCCACCCCTCTTTTTTTCTTTTTCTTTAAATCAATCTTTTTTCCAGCCCCCAATCCACTTCTTTAGCAGACATCAGAATTGATTATCAAAGCCAAACCACTGTGCAGCACTGCCCTGGGAAACACCACCAGTGGCCATATGAGGAGAGGACACTGGAGGTGTCCCTAGGCTTTAATGTAAACACTTTGCATGAAAATGCCTGCAGGGACTTATTTTACTCACCAGAACAACTACAATGAGCTGTAGTACTGGTGACTAGTGTGTCCCTTTATCCTTTAACTCCCAGTCTGGCCACAAACAATTTGGTAGAAAGTAGGGTACCTACTGCCCTAACCTGTCAAGTCATCTGTACTACAGATTGTACGAGCAAAAACCCATCATTTTATTTACTGAATACTGTAGTAATCTGAAACTCAAAATAACAAAAATAACCCAGCCGTAAACTTTAGTGTTACAACATTTTCCCAAATCTACATTTTTCCAGTTTGTTTCTCAGCTCACTTCAATTTCAGTATTCAGTAAATTCTCATTAAAAGCTACATGATAGGCTTACAGTATATGTCAATTAAAACCCATAAGCACATGGGATAGAAGGGAGTCTTTTATAAACAAACCAAAATACATATGTAAATGCGGTCTGTTCTCACGCAGCATTGCTTTATGGAAATGGAGAATTACTACCAATTATGTGTGCTTGCACTCTTAATGGAAAGTTATGCTATAAAATACTTACGTTTACACATTTGTAAATCTTCAGACCAGTAATCAGATCTTACCTGAAGCATTTGACTAAGCAGCAACACACTTCCAGGAGAAAGCCATTTTGGGATATCATATCTACCTCTCTGAATAAAGGACAAAGAAAGTAAAATAAGTAATTTTATTTGAAATACATCTCAATCTATCATTTCTTGCAAAATATTTCTAGCACATACCATTATCTTCTTGTACAACACCATGACATTATCATCATCAAATGGGAGATATCCACACATTAGTGCATACAGGAGAACTCCCATGCTCCAAATATCTGCCTGTAGGAAAAAAATAAAAAAATTTGCAGGTTAATGTCTGTAGTACATTTTCAAGATTATAGGGACTAACATTTAGTGATGTATTCTAAATTATTTTAACATAACGTTAAAGCAACAGATCTAGTCTATACAAGACCAAGTAGTAGGTTGACTGTCTTTTTTTGGGGAGGGGATGTTTTTCAATCTTTTCTGCTGTCTTTTTATAAAATTGATTTTTCAGCTATACTTGGGCATGCTGGGCACAGAGCATCAGAATTCAAAGACACGTTAAAAAAGTGAAAAACTTAATACAGAACAGCTCAAAGGATGGCAACATAACCACTACAGAGGGTTGTCACCATAACCACATTGGCCTATCATAGACATGTGCATTAGTTTTCAGAATAATCAAAAATATTTAAATTGAAAAGTAACGGTTTTGGCACCATTCTGTCAATTGTTAACCAGCTGCTGCTCTGGAATCGTTCTAAATTACATATGAATGATGCACTAGTCACAATCAAGTAGTTTGGACTTTTCATGTATTTATTCATTGGAGGTATATCCTAAAAGGGCTTGCAAAAGCTGCATTTCTTATGAACTACAGCCTTTGCAAGCCCTCGACTTTTCCCCCCAGATGACACCAACAGTCTTCATGGGAAGAGGCCAAGTAGAACAAACCTGCCACTTCCATTAGCTCAGGGATCCAACAAAAGGAGTAAGAAATCCTCAATGGCGGTCTTACATCCAGGGGTGTGTTCCATAATTTATTTATAAAAAGTACAGATTTATCATATAAAGTTGAAAGGGACATTATAGAAAATTAAAATAAAAAAAACACAACTTTAATTTAATGAAGCAGTTTTTGCTTATAGATCATGCCTACCTAGTCTCACTGCTCAATTCTTTGCCATTTAGGAGTTATATCATTTTGTTTATGCAACCCTAGGCACATGTCATTGCATGTGACTTGCACAGCCTTCCTAAACACTTCCTGTAAAGAATAGTCAAATGTTTACACTTCCTTTATCGCAAATACGGTTTAAATTTAGAATTTTGTATCTTCTGCTCTGCTAACTAGCTAGACCTTACAGGAGCCTCCTGTATGTAATAAAGCTCAATTTACAGATTTTTAAAGTAAGTTACATCTGATTGAAAATAAACCATTTCGAACAGGGAAATTGAGAAAATGAGAAAAAGAATGTCAAAACAGCTGAATGGAAAAACCTGTTGTGCTTTTATTCCGGCCTTAAACTTGAAGTTTAGTTTGTATTGCCTACACTTTAGTACAAGCCTGTCCATGGCTACTGCCTACTTGCCTATCCTCTTCAAACCTCAGTGCCGTACACTTTCACATGGGCTGCAGTAAAACACTGATGTGTATGGAGGATCCAGTGGGACCCTTCACAGACATAGCCTTTTCCCCTCCGCCATCACTAGTGAAGGCGGATGTCTTGATGGAGGTTGCTCCACTCCAAGCGTAGGAAAAAAAAATAAAAAAAAAATGCTTAAAACAAAAGTAGTCCATATATATTTTGACTGTATTGGGATTTCAGTGGAATTTGTTTACAAGACATTGCAGGGCTAAAAAGACAGGCGAACTGCACCGAGATTAAGTGGTCTGGGTGCCTATAATGGTCCTTTAAGTTATCCAACTTTTGCACACTATACTACAAAAAAAAAGCCACACAATAAAAGAGAAAATGTTACCTCCGATCCAATATAGGCTTTACCCTGAATCAGTTCAGGAGCTGCATAAGCTGGGCTTCCACAACAAGTCTTTAAGTGATAATCCATGCCACCCTTGTATAAAAACCATAAACACACAGTAAATAAAAACAGTGCATCAGTCCGCTCACTGATTTTAGTCTATACTTTATGAACTTTCACAAGAAACAGAACATTTAAATATAAATAAAACTTATTGTGAGTTTAAGTTCGCTTAAATTAGCCCTCAATATAAGGATACATCATAAAGATGCATGACAGATTCCATTTAAAAAACAGATATCATGGGTGTTCCTCTTCATGCAACATCCTCCTCCGGTCCTCATGTTCTCTTCTTTCATTTGCCAGGCTTGGGGACACTACCCCAAGCAGGGCAAGCATTCTGTGTGACACTGGCTTTGTTGCTGGCATCTGAACTGCATGACATCAGTAACTCCGTTCCTGTACTCCCTAGCTCGTGTTTGCAGCGGTTATACATTTTTCATTGCAACCACTGTGCATAGTTGCTTACTTGGAGAAGGACCACCCATGGGAGGTCCTTCCTGCTCTCCTTTGCCAATCAAATCATCAGCAGAGCCTATGCCAAAGATTGAATGACAGGTGGGAGAAAAGCCTATTTTTAATTAGGTTTTCTCCCAATCCATACAGTTTCTACATTGCTAATACAATGTAGAAATGAAATTGTGTGCTCCATAAAATATATAGTTTGAAAGTATCATACTAGGTGCCCTTTAAAGTATTAATTGTTGCATGCAGCAAAATGGTACACAACTGTATCCTTCATTTTAGGTCTATCAAAGGCATTGGAAATACAGCCTTGTGCACAAGTTTCTTTACTTGCCTGATAAAGACACCTTTGGAAATCTTTGCATACTTTGCAAACACCCACGAAGGGGACATTTCTACACGCATCTTCTTTCTTTAGCTTAAGGCGCTTCATTCACCAGGAACCATAATACTGCTATACAATCATGCATATGCTAGAGTAGAACATTGAGGGAGACCCTGCAAGATTCTCCAAGGCTACTCTTGCAAATGCACAGATGAAACCTTTTCCACAGCTGTTGCTAGAGATGGCTATGAGAATTGACTAACACTGTAGACTGATGCACAGACTTTTGCCAACTTAGGCGTTGTCCTTACTTTGTCTATATATCCATGGTGTGATGGAATTTCAATAAAACCAATTCCTTGATATAACACCATTTAAGACTTGAAGTGGCACAGCCATTTTAAACAAAGTAAACTATATTTTTTTTAAAACACTTGCAGAAAGAATAAAATAGATTGACATGCTTTAATTCACATTATACACATGTTAACATTAAATGTAAGTATCATGTTCGCAATCGGGAGAATAATATTTACGAAAAGCAACGTGTAGAACAGAATTGAACCTGTAGGTGGTGCTCATGTTCAAGGGCTGCTTTTGAGCAATGAATAAAATACACTAAGTAGGTCAAGAATACTTACAGTGCACATATGCATTTGTTACATTTAAACACTAGAGGGAGCAAGAGGTTAAAATAATGCTCTGAAAAGGTTGGAGCTTAGAATTTCAGCTGCATTTGAATGGACTAGGGAAATAAAATAAAAAAAATAAAAAAAATAAAAAACTTATTTGCTACATGAATAAGTTAATTCAACAAAGATTTCACTATGCTTCAAACTACTTAGCTTTTTAACTATTATTTTCCATTCCATGCAATAGAAAAATCCATGTTTACAATGGAATGAGGCAAAAATGTGATTCTTTGCTGATCTAATGAGCATACCCAGAATCCTTTGCAGTAGTAACATCACTGCAAATTTGAGATTTCTGTGGGAAAACCAAGTCTTGTGGCTTGACTGGTGTCCAGAACGGTGTTTAACAATGTATTCACTATCAACTGACTTCCAGTTCGAAGTGGTTTTCAATCACAGTTTTCCACCACCATAACCGTTTTTGAGAGATAAGGATATTTTGTGTGTGCTGTATGTACTACAAGTCGTCAGATAACAATGGTGAAACTTTGTACCAGATATGCAAAAGATGTGGAAGGAACATACCTTTGGTTTTGCACAAAGACCAAAATCTATTAGTTTCAGGTTGTGATCTTCATCAATAAGAAGATTTTCCTGGCAGAACAGAAAATGAAAAGACATTAGCATAGCATAAAGCAATGATATTAAAAGCTACCTAGCTTTAAGCAATGGTCATGACATTTGTCAATGGCTGACACTACATGCCAAAAACTTGGTCTCCTGAGCAGAGCACTTTATCTGCATGCAGTGGAGGAGCTCCGAGAGTAAAGGACAACCTCATTTAAACCCATTCCAATATCAATACTACAGCATACATTTTCAGTGTTTTACTATTCTGTTCCCATACGGCCTGACTTACAGGTTCATTCTAACTCGGTCACAGTAATTTTTAATGCAAGTCACAAACAAAACCGATGAACGCATTAGAAAAGGAGCACTTCTAGTTTGCCCGTGTGTTTAGATTCCAGCGATAAAGCGGGAGCACGCACACAATTTTCTAAAGATGGAAGAGATTACAAATGTAAAATAACAGATATTTAAATGTTAAGACATTTCAAAATAAAAACATTTGGTGTAGCTAGTTCTAAAACGGTTTAGGGATGGGCTCAAACAGCTTCCTGCCTTAAATAAAAATAAACATGCATTTATTGGCACATCAAAATGTGTCAGACAGTTGATGACAGAAAGGAAACACACCATTCATTCTCAGTTTGATTTCCAAGTTAAAGTGAATGTAACAGGAACACAAACACACAGTAGGGAATCTGAAATATTAGCCCACAGTAGCATAACATGAAGATTTGTCCAACTTCACCACGTTTGTAGTTCATCTAGTTTGGCATGAAACTTGAATTCCTGACAAGTCACAGTTTAGTGAATAACTCCATTAGCTTAGTTGTAGCAGAGACTTATTTTTAAATCAAATATAACCCAGCTTTGGAAACACTTACTGGTTTAAGGTCTCGGTGTGCATACCCCTGGCTGTGAATATAGGCAACAGCAGAAACAATCTGACGAAAAAACACCCTGGCTTCTTCTTCAGATAAACGATCTTTTGCAATAATGTAGTCAAACAATTCTCCACCTGGGCAGTACTAAATGAAACAAACCAAAAAGGTGTTAAATACAAGTTACAAAGCTGTCTAAAGGAGGAATACAGCAAACAGTACATTTTCAAACTATATTAAAATATTGGCTTAAAATCCCATTGCCCTTATGGTTTGGTGCTTTCGCCACATAATCACACCTCACTATTTTACCAATAAATATCTGTACTGGAGCAACTAGTTCCTCCCACTCTCCCCTTACATCTTGGTGCCTATTTATGCCTCACTTAATATTAGTAGAGCGGTCACATGCTATCCATCTCTTCTTGGACAAAATGGTTCAGGGATGAGGGGACCCGGCTTCCATTCTTAAATAAGTTTGTCACTTACACTGATAAGTTATTTACTACCTAAATCTCCACCTGGATCCTGCTATACTACATCTGAGTCATTCAGCCTCAAGGAGCAAAGTGAGCAACATGGCGTCTCATACAGTTTCTACAAGCATATAGGCAAAAGCAGATTCAATTCTTTTCAGGTTTTGTAGAAAATCATTGGAAACAAATAAGCAAGGTTTCCTCAATTTTATGAGAAGCATCTGATTGGACAAAAGTCATCAAGATTGATGATGATTTCATGGTAAGCAGATTGGGCTGCGGTGAGGAGTCCATCTCTGTACCCAGTAATTAGAGTGTTCTTGAATATGTTTATTCATTGTGAGAATTGTCAGGAATTCTAAGTGGGTTTATTTACATTGTAAGGCCAAAATAGCTGAAATGGAAAATTTCTCAAAGTCAGCTAGGCTTCTAGTTCATGTTTTTTGGCTTACATTTTGAAATGTCCTTTGATTTCCCAATAATTTTCAATTTAGTGAATAACTCTGCATGTGTTTTGCAGTGGCTGGTTAAGGTGTAGTTGAGATCATAGACCACAGGTTTATACTGAGCAATCATTGATAAAATATCAAGATTCTGAAGAACACTTCACACCCCAAGTGTTGAGATAAAGAATATTAACCTCAAGGATCATGAATATTTTTTTGGGTGTTTCAATCACATGATACAGTCTGCAAACATGCTGGTGACTAAAGTTCTTCATAGCATCGATTTCTGTTTTGACACGTGGCAAATCATCCTATCAAAAAAAAAAAAAAAAGGAAGAAATTTGTGATTTATTGTTATAACACACTTGGCAACAAAAGTCAAAGTAAGAGGAGTGAACTTCTGTGCATCTATGTTTGTCAACCAGGTAGCTCTAATAAATTACATTTCCATTTCGAACACTTGAGTAGTGTGAACTGTCAATTCAGACTTCCAAATTACACAGACCGTTGAACAGTATGATGCAATCAAAACATGACAAAGTAGAGACTATTTTGTCATATTGACTAGCCAACTGTTGGTAAGAGGCATAGCTTCTACTTGGATCATTTTTCCATTTCATAATGAGCCTTTGCTTGCAACAACTAAACAAGAAAGCAACTGCACATGTGTGAAAATAGCTATGGAGCATCTTAGCCTCAAGGATTCTTTAAAGGACCACTATAGGCACCCAGACCACTTCAGCTTGAAGTGGTCTGGGTGCCTGGTCCAGCTAGGTTGAACCCTTTTTTCTATAAACATAGCAGTTTCAGAGAAACTGCTATGTTTATAAATGGGTTAATCCAGCCTCTAATGGCTGTCTCATTGACAGCCACTAGAGGGCTTCCGCGCTTCTCACTGTGATTTTCACAGTGAGAAGACGCCAGCGTCCATTGGAAAGCATTGTGAATGCTTTCCTGTGGACTGGCTGAATACGCGCGCAGCTCCTGCCGCGCATGCGCATTCAGCCGAAGAGGAGGAGGAGAGAAGGAGGAGAGCTCCCTGCCCGGCGCTGGAGAAAGGGGTAAGAGCCCGGCGGAAGGGGGAGCCTGAGGGTGGGGCACCCTCAGGGCACTATAGGGCCAGGAAAACGAGTATGTTTTCCTGGCATTATAATGGTCCTTTAACCAATCCTTGTTTTACAGACAAGCTGATTTTTGTCAAATCTGGCACATGGAGGGCATTCCCTTAACATTCTTTGCTGACTGAATTGCCTTTAAATACACCCGCACAGTTTTTTTTGCGTTTTTTTCTTAAAAGCAATACCTGTAAGGACATTCTGCAAATGATAGTTGTGCATTTTTATAAATTTCTTTTTTTCTTACCCCAAGACCATCTTTGTCCATTATCTTAATGGCTACTTTTTCACCTGTAAGAAGATGGGTTGCAAGTTTCACTTTGGCAAATCCACCTATATTGAAGAAAGAACATTTTTAAGAGTGTGTTGAAGCAGCTTAATGTTTAAAAAGTGATACTCTAAGCAACAATACAACTTTAGCTTTTTAAGCAGTTTTAGTGTATAGATCATGCCCCAGCAATCTCACTGTCATTTATAAGTTCAATCCCTTTTGTTTATTTATTCAGCCCTAATCACACCTCCACTGGCTGTGATTTACACAGCTTCCATTTTCAATCAGAACAGCACAGTGTTTTTAGATTTTTTTTTGTATCTCCTGCTCTGTAAATTTAACTGTCAATCACACACAGTATGTTCTGACAGGCTCTTTCGGAGATAAGCAATTCTAAAAATCAAACACACTGTACAGAAAATTTATAAATGAGATCTTTCTTTACAGATCATGTGTAGGGAAGTGTGACTAGGGCTGCAGAAACAATTGCTTTAACTCCGCACAGAGTTGAGCCGTGAGACTGCAAGGGCATGATCTATAAATAAACACAGTAAAGAGACACTATAGTCACCAGAACAACTACAGCTTATTGTATTTGTTCTGGTGAGTAGAATCATTACCTTCAGGCTTTTTGCTGTAAACACTGTCTTTTCAGAGAAAATGCAGTGTTTACATTACAGCCTAGTGATAACTCCACTGGCCACTCCTTATTGCTGATGGCTCCTATAGGTGCTTCCTGGGGGCAGTGCTGCACAGTGTGCAGCACTGCCATTCAGTGTCTCCTCCTTCTGCATGCAGACACTTTACTTTCCTCATAGAGATGCGTTGATTCAATCTCTATGAGATGCTGATTGGCCAGGACTGTGTTTGACTTCTGCTGGCTCTGCCCTTGATCTCCCGCCTTGACCGCCTCAGCCAATGCTATGGGGAAGCATTGTGATTGGCTCAAAACACCACTTCTGATGAAGTCAGCAGACACAGGCAAACAGGGGCAGAGCCAGCAGCTGCAACTTAAAAATACAAGTAAGATTTTACTATATTTAGGGAGGCAAGAGGGGGTCAGGGGGCTAGATGGTGGTTTTCACACTATAGGGTCAGGAATACATTTTTGTGACCCTATAGTGTTCCTTTAAGCTAATAGTGGTTTTGGTGCTCAGAGTGCCCCTTTAATAAAAAAAAAAAAAAATACATGTGTGGTATTAAAAAGGGATTCATACTAGTGGGGTGTTATTGTGGAGATTCTGTTTTCATTTAATGGTTTATATTTCAGACTGGACAAATTAAAATAAAATGTTTCACATGTGTTTAAATGCTTAAAGCGGCATTGTCAGCATAAGGTAAAGTCGAGTCTACTTACCTGAACCTGTCCCTCGCATGTGCCGCTATCTTGATCGGATGGGGTCCTCTTTGGCACTGACGTCACTGCTGAGAGTGTACAGCATTGAAGTCTAAGAGGTATGACGGCTGCAGAGACTGACTCTGTACCTCCGCCTTGTGTCAAAGAAAGTCAGGTTTGTCTCTGTATATCTCTTGTCTGGACCCAGTCATAATGAGTTTTTCATAAAGATTCCATCTTTATGAAATACTCATTTTTCAGGAGGGATAATCATAGATAATACATTACGTAAAATCTAAACAGGTATTTGTTTTCTTGATATGGATTGAATTGTACAAAACAGCTAACTATAACTATTCACTCAAGTGTGATCTGACATGAAATCACAAAGTGTTTAATCCAAGCACCATGACTACTTAAAGTTTGAAACTAAAAGATATTGTAGCTAGCTACCACAGGTGTAATGTCAGCTTTCAATGGCCAGCCAGAACAAGGGTTCCCTTAGTGTAAAATTCTGAAGTGAATTCAAACCTTAGTCTAAAATCATCAAACTAAAAATACAGTGAAGTTTTCCAATATACTATGGCCTAAAATTTTGAAATTCACATTCTGAAGCCATACATACATTCTTAGGCATATATAGTTCAGTTCATGGTAATTATAGTAATTTACCTGTCCCAATGGTTTCATGCAAATCATAATACTTTAGTAACTCTTCATAATCATCAACAGCCATGATGACCGTTTTACAAGTTGACCCGAAGACCTGCATATATAACAAAACAAAAAAGTTAAACAATAAATAAAAAGAAAGCATCACATTCATTTCAAAATAATACAAGCTAAAAAGACAAAAATGTTAATGGCACAATCACATGAAGGGAAACACAAAAACTCCAGATGTCAATTTCATATTTATTTCACTCTTTAACCCCTTAAGGACCAAACTTCTGGAATAAAAGGGAATCATGACATGTCACGTGTCCTTAAGGGGTTAAAGAAAATGAGCAAGCGGTCTAAATTCTCTCAAATTACGGAAATGGTGACAGAGGCGGATTTTGATAAAGAAAGTGATCAAGTAAAGAGAAACACAAAGACCAGTTCATCGCTTTGGCAGTGAAGGAGTGATTTTATTGCTGTAAAGGTGCTGTTATCATAGCTTTAATATGAACTTTTGGCAATATGCATTAAGACAGCGGCAGTGCTTAATTTAATTTTTACTCAAGTTACAGTAAAGCAGACCAAACAAGTTTCCAAGGGACAATCTAAAAGAAACTACACTTTTGCATTTACATAAATCAAAGCAGGAAAAAAAATAATATGTATTGTCTCACGCCTCAAACCAAAACAAGACCCATGATGACTCTAGGTAAATGGCATAAGGGATGGCAATATCTGCTTTAATTCCTTTTCACTTCATACTAACCATATATTGCTAATAGTTTATTACATATGCTAGAGGCCAAGATTGTGGAAAACTTTTTTTTTTTTTTTTTTCAAAAAAAATGATTTCTAAAACATTTGTTGACTCACAACAGTCTTTTTTGAATGATACCATAAAATTATACGTCACTAGAAAAAAAAATGTAAGCAGAATAGAATGCAAAAAATGTCTTGACTTATTCTATCAATATCTGAAATAATGACAGGAGGCGAATATATGCATTCTCTCTTTACTGCACCTCGATATATCAGCAAAAAATAAACAGTAACAGAAACATCCGATCAAAACAATGAGATGTCAATAAAGGGCATTGTCACAGAGGTTACTTCTTTCTTTGTCAATAGCAAGTGGAATCTGAGAAGATATGGTCCAAAGAACAAGAACACCTAATGAACTGCCACCCTTACAACGACAACAGGTTTTTCTCCTAATTTATACATTTGCTAGCACTATCTATAGATCAAATCTTATGCTCAAGCTAGTGGAAATAAGTCAGGGCTTGACAAGTTTGCTTTGAATCTAGGAGCCAGCTGAAAAAAAAAAAAAAAATTGTAGCCAGGTTTTATTTTCAACATCAAATACAATTCTTAAAAGGGACACTATAGTAACCAGAACCACTACAACTTAATGGACTGATTCTGGTGTCTAGCCTGTCACTGCAGGCTCAGCGATATAAAGGCTGCCTTTTCAGGGAAAAGGCAGTGTTTACATTACTGCTTAGGAACACCTCTAGTGGCGGTCACTCAGACAGCCACTCAAGGTGCTTCCTATGTCAGTACAGAAAGTGCCGCACTTATATCCTGCATGGAGACACCGAACATTCCCCATATAGACACCGCACCTTTCCCATGTGATCGGAGGGTCATCCGAACAGACAAACTTACTGTGATACACACACAAATTATGCAGTTTATTTTAATTTATGTCCACCCAGCCCCCTACCTTTGGGAAAGCTGAAGTGGATCCTTTCCCTGTGGTCCAGTGTAGCTAGAGTCACCTTTCTGCTTTACTCCCTCATTGTTTAATGATGCTCTACTTCTTTGCGTGCTGTTTAGTGATGCGAGAGTAATGTCATATGTTAGCATCACTAAGTGCAAGGTTAGAGAGCAAGAAGATCACTGCTCCCTCGCCACTGCTGCCTCCATTTGCCCTTGACCGTCCGTAAACCCGCCTCTATTCTCCTTTGGCCGGCTGGACGGGCTGGCAAACTCCCAGGTGCCAGGAAAAATTTCTAGTAGCCATGGCGACCTGGGATTTGTCAAGTCATGACATAAGTTGTTTGGGGCATGACAGGTCCCCTTCAAATGTACACCAGTTTTCATTGATGCAACAGCTTTATTAATATTTCAGCCACTTTCTCCGCACTGACAAATTTATAGTGGTGGAAACATTCCACTACTTTCGGTCTCAAAAATAGTGGAATTTACTATAAAGAACACCATCATTTCTTCCACTTTAAAGTAACACTATAGTCACCCAGAACACGTCAGCTCAAGGAAGTGGTCTGGGTGCCAGGTCCCCCAGGTTTTAACCCTTCAGATGTAAACATAGCAGTTTCAGAGAAGGTAGGGTTGAGCATGAGGTTCAGAGAAACTGCTATGTTTACATTGCAGATTTAATCCAGCCTCTAGTGGCTATCTTCCTGACCGCCACTAGAGGCGCTTCTGCGATGCGAAAAATCGCATTCAGCTTGCAGAACGTCCATAGGAAAACATTGAGAAATACTTTCCTATGGACTGCTCTCGCCGCGCATGCGCATTACGCTCCACTCAGGAGCTGAAGTCGGCGGGGTAGGAAAGGTCACCAGCGCAGAGGGAGCCTGGCGCTGGATTCTGGTAAGTGGTCTCTCCCCTCCCCCCTCCCCCCCTTCAGCCCAGCAGGGGACAGGACTAAGGGTTATTTGGGAAAATTTGTTTTCCTGACAATATAGTGATCCTTTAATATGGTCAAAATAACAGTGGAATTTAACAGCCTGGCTAGGTTAGACTAAATTTTCTAGATTTCAGTAAAAAAAAAAAAAAATATATATATATATATATATATATATATATCTGACGTGGTATAGGTGAAGTGAGAATAGGACTGTGTGATTAGATAGTGGGGGGGCTAATTAAAATTTTGCTTAAACTAACTTTTAGCCCTCATTCCTAAGTTCTTCAGTAATGGTTTTACAATAATACATTGACTTCAAAAAAGGAATAATGAAAACAATCCATTTAAGAAAACTTATAAGGTTTCTAGTATGCATATTAATACACTTTATCAACCAACATATTGAAAGATCTCTGTAATATAGCATTGCTAGACAAAATAGACTCACAGGATCTGCTGAGGGTAACAGCATATTTGAGCTATTTTTATACATCAAGCAAGCAAATAAAGCTGAACACAGTGTTCCTGAGAATGACAAAAGACATGCTGGGGGTCAAACAAATCTCTGAAGAAGCATATGTGTTTATATAGTGATATATACATCCATATACACATGCTCACAAAATCAAAATATTAAATTTCAAGAGTATGCAAATTCAGGTTTTTCCTTCAATCAAAAAAAAAAAACAATTACATATAACAGTATCTATACATTGTGCTAGCAAGTATGCAAACACAGGCTTAGATTGGGACAAAAACCTATTTTTAAAAAAATATATAAAAATATATAGCAACTACTGCACATACACTGTGGTAGCTATGCCAGCTCCCTAGCTGACGCTGCTAGCTAGCTGTGTGACTGACAATACTTTGTTTAGATAAACACTATGGTTTTAGGAATACAAAACTGTATTCCTAAAACTAAAGTGTTCCCCTGCTTCTGTGGCCTCCTCCCCCAGCCATGGAAGGGTTAAAAAACCCTATTCACTTATGGATCAGTCTCCTCCTCCTCTGATGTCAGCGCAATCCAGGAACCCAATGTGCATGTGAGGTGAGAATTGCGCACAAATTGAGGACATCAGGCCTCCTTTCACAGCGTTAAAAAAACTAAAAAAAAAAAAAAAAAACTATGAAACTACAAGAAGCCCCACTAGAGAGTCAGTCTTAACCCTGCAAAAGGGTTAAGGTGAAGGGGATATTGCACCCAGACCACTTTAATGAGATGAAGTTGTCTGGGGCCTATAAATGTCCCTTTAAACTTCATCATGCTGGCAATGAAGCCAACATGGCATCAAGGATGAGATAGCCCAAGCAGGGCAAAAATGTCCAGGAGGAGAGAATGTTACAAGAAGATTAACACCAACACAACTTATGAAGTAGTGATGGAATGGAGGTTTGATTATCTTGATAATTTATACTGAAAATATCATGTACGTCTGTGATATATTCAATGTATTTGGAGACAGCTGTCAGCCACTAGAGGCACTTCCCGGAGGCTAACCTACTTTTGATCGCTTAACTGATGCTGGACGTCCTCATGGTCTGAATGAAGAAATCCGGCGTCAGTAAAATCCCCATAGGAAAGCATGAATGCAATAATGCGCTTGCCACCTATGCGCCCCCCTGTCGGATGACGTCAGAGGAGGTGGAACACTCAATCCAGCGCTGAAAGTGATCAGTGCTAGAATGTTTTTTATTTTTTATTTTAAATCCCTATGTGATGAGGAGTGGATAAGAGGGGTGGAGGAGTCAGTCAGAGGGAACTATAGTGCAAGGAATACAACACTTTGTTTCCTTACATTAAAAAAAATCCCTATAAAGCTGCAGCAATGTTTGCCAGTAACTGCCTCTATAGAGTGATTATGTGAGAGATAAGATGGGGATACCTCCGTGAAGCATAACCCATCCAAAAAAAATAAATAAAATTTTTTGGTTACAAGCCTTGAAGTATAAATAGCCCATTACTACTCATGTGCCATCAAATAAATGCACGTGTATGCCACGTTAACGCGACTGTCACCCCAACCTTACTTTTCTTCAATAGAAATTGAATTGCAGGACAGGGAAAGGACAAACGAAGGCAGAGACACAATCTGTCACTGCCAGTGTCCTGAACATTGTGACAGAGAGGAAAAAGATGAAATGCCTCAATTTTGGAAAATATAAGTATAGGGACATAAAGGAAACAAGAGCCAATGTGAGACCATAAAAGGGGAAGGGTCAACCTTTGACAGAGGCATTATTAAAAAATAAATAAATAATAAAAAAATAAAAAAAAGAATAACACCCCATCACTTACAAAGAAGTGACAGTTCCTTGTTCCCTCGCCTCAGTAAATGCTATTGCAACTTTTACTGTAGTGAACAAAGTAGCAGGTTTAAAAAATATCTACCAAGAAATTCACAGTCTATGTACACACACTTTATGTGACAGTCCCCTTTAACCTGCACCAGGTAAAATCAAATCCCTACTGACTGCTGAGAAACTGGCAACTTACCATGAAGACCTCGAACTGCTAAAAATCATAGAAATATAGTAAAGAAAAACTCATATGTGTAATACAAGGCACATGTTTAAAAGTCAGTGATGTTCAGGATGTCAGCATATACATTTCAATAAATATATAATATACAGTATAATAATACACACAGACTGCCAGTTGTCCGCTGCGAGCCATTACCAGCACATAATACTGACCTTGTAACAGTTAATAATATCCTAACACACTCCGTACAACCGGCCAGAAATACTCTGTGTGGCTCCGGGAACTTATTGCTATTCAATACACCGAGATCAGAAACTCACTCCCCTCCGCCCAAAGACATGAACATTTAAATTTACCGGGGAACAATGGCAACTTCCGGCCAGCGGCTGAGCCGACCAGTTAAATCAAAGTTATGGCGACAGGCTGGGAGCGCAGTGCACGCCGGGAGGAAGGTCACAAGTGTGTAGAATGTTGGATGCAACTTCAAGGTGGCGTCTCCATGTTGGTAGGGGCGCTCTGCTCTGTTCATGACGAGCAGTCGGTGGCTGCAGGAGCAGTGATCTGTCTGAACAAGTTAGGTCCCAATAGAAAAGGACAAATTAGACTGATTTTAAAAAGATTCTGCATACTTATTATTTGTTGATAAATCCCATGATAGTCCACATGACTATATAGTGGAAAAGTATTGGAAAAGGAAATAGCTGAAACTTAGTGAAAGCATATGAACAAATTAAAGTGCAAATGTAAGGTTAATATATTACAAATAAAATTCTAAATAGCACATTCTAGGCACAGTAATGCTGTTATTTATTTAATTCTGTTATTTATTTAGCAGGACAGTCCAGATTTCTGGCACACATCACGCTGTCACACGTTTTCGCTGTTGTCCTACTTCTGGGGACATCAAAGAAAGTTCCCAAACAGTATATGACAAGATCTCACTTAAACAAATTCTCCAAGCACCATAACCAATGCAGCCCATGTAGTGATTCTGGTGCCAGGAGTTTCCCGGCACGACCCACAATAAGTAGTCAAACGTTTGTAGTACAATTCGATAGCTCACATGGTTACTGCTGGGTGCCTGTAACGGACTCCCCTGTTTCTGAATGTCATCGTGCAGGAAAACGCGGTTGGCTCTACAGAACTCTGCTGTGCCACGCAGGACAGTGGTCATTAGCTGAGAGGGCCAGCTCGGTGCTCACAGTCAATGAGCTCAGTCCTGCTCTGCTTGAGCTGTAGTGATTAGGGTCTTTGAGTTTTCAGTGTACTGTAGTTGTTATGGTGTCAGTAGTGCCCTGGCAGACCCCATTTGCTAATGGTTTCAGAACTTACATGGGATCATCTGGGTCGTTGAGAGCCAGAAGCACCTGCATGAAGCTTCTGTTGGCTCTCCTGAGCTACCTCTGCCATACAGGACCAGTTCATTTGCATAGATAGTCAACTGATCTCTTTCAACCAATGAGCTATGCCCTGCACTGCCACTTAAGCTCAATGAAGTGGTCTGGGTGCCAGATCCCCCAGGTTTTAACCCTTCAGATGTAAACATAGCAGTTTCAGAGAAACTGCTATGTTTACATTGCAGGGTTAATCCAGCCTCTAGTGGCTGTCTTCCTGACAGCCGCTAGAGGCGCTTCCTGGATGCGAAACTCGCATTCAGCATGCAGAACGTCCATAGGAAAGCATTGAGAAATGCTTTCCTATAGACTGAATGGACTCTTGCCGTGCATGCGCATTTGCATTCTGCCCAGGAGTCGACGTCGGATTTGGAGGAGAGGTCACCAGCACCAAGGGAGCCCGGCGCTGGATTAAAGTAAGTAACTGAAGGGGTTTTAAAAACCCCTTCAGTTGCTCACATTCTTCCAACGCCGGGCTCCCTTACCTCTCCTCCCACGCCGATGTCAGCTCCCCTGTATGACGTCAGCGGAGCGGAATGCGTATGCGCAGCAGTGCTGCGCGCGCATTCAAAGTGTCCATAGGAAAGCATTTTTCAATGCTTTCCTATGGACGCTCTGCGTGATGGAGGCATTAAATGCCTCCAGCGTCGCAGATGCGCCTCTAGTGGCTGTCGGAAGACAGCCACTAGAGGCTGGCTTAACCCCAAATGTAAACATAGTTTCTCTGAAACTGCTATGTTTACAGCAGGCAGGGTTAACCCTAGAGGGACCTGGCACCCAGACCACTTAATTGAGCTGAAGTGGTCTGGGTAACTATAGTGTCCCTTTAAGAATACTTGAGGGGCTCACGGTCGACTCAATGGCTACAAAACAAGCCCAAATCATCACCAAATCATCACTCCTTCACTCCAGAGAGAGAGGCAACCCTTCCAAACAAACCACACTTGTTCAATCTTTTTCTAATTGTACTGTCATGAACTTTCAAATTTAACATACTAACTGAGGCCTGTAGAGTCTGAGATGTAACTCTTGAGTTTTTTGTAATTTCTCTGAGCATTGCACAGGGCGTCAACTCCTGGGAAGATTTACAACTGTCTTGAATGTTTTCCATTTTCCAGGCTAATATCTAGCACATGTCAACGATATACTGTATATAGTTATTTATTTGGTTTTGTTTGGCAGTGTTTTACTTTTATTTTGGCACAATGTCTCACCCCAAATATACACTCCCCTGCCATAAATAAAGTATAAGGGTATAACTTATTTGTCATTACCCACTAGTATAAATGATCTGTTCTAACTCTACAAACAGGTTGAGTAAGCACAGATATATAATTGTTACTGTGATCTATAAAAAGTTCATATGTATGGACATACGTTCCCTGGCAGACATTCACACCCAAAGTACCGAAAGGTCTCCAGCAGCTCTTGGGAGCAAACCATATGGAACTACAACTTAGCCACTTTACATAGTGGAGGCCGATCACTTTGGCTCATAATTTTTCCCCACTTCCCGACCTGCCAGGAAAGCGCTATTTGGAGGGAAGGTATTACAGACTACATGGAACAATCACTCCCAGAGAGCCAGGGGTAGCCACCTTTTGTTGGACTGTAGGAGTTCCCAACATTTGACCGGCAAAAGCCCCTTTCACGCTGGAACAGCATGGTCATATTGCCTTTTATCAAGAAACACACTTTTAGTGGGTTTGTCCCCCCCCCACCAAATCTAATTCTCTAAATTCCCAATAGCCTTTCACTCACACTTTAAAGCCAAGAGACGCAGAGCTTCCATTTTGACCAGCAACCAAGTGGCATTTTCATTAGTACACAAAATAAGGGGTAAAGAAGAAGGTAGATATTTGGTAGTGCAATGCTATTTAAAACAATCTGCCTTACACTTTAGTTAACATTTATGGTGTCCATGAGGAACCGGTTACTCGCACTTTAACCCTTTAAGGACACATGACATGTGTGAGATGTCATGATTCCCCTTTATTCCAGAAGTTTGGTCCTTAAGGGGTTAATCACTACGAGAATTAGAACTCTCCAAGACAGCATTCTTATTGATGCAATGCAAACATAAATATTTTGCATATGGCCACAAAACGGGGCCATATGTAAAATACGGCCTCGTTCTAGAATCGCCTTCCTGATGTCATCAAACAACAAAAAATATTAGACTTACAAAAAAACAGCAGATGAATTTGCTAAATATTATAGCACATTATATAACCTCAACTCAGACTGCCCAGAACTAGACATTACATCAATTAAGGCCTTCCTGGAAATACTGCCTCTGCCAACCCTTATCCCTGAGAATATAGACATTTTGACAAAGAAAGATAAGGTCAGCAATGTAATTTCTAAACTACCGGCACGCAAAGTGCCAGGTAAAGATTTACTCTCTAATCTGTAATACCAAACATTTATGACAGAGACGACCCCTTATTTGACTAAAGTGTATATTTCTGGTTTTAACGCTGGAGTTTTGCTGTCAAATATGCTACAGGCAAATATCAAAACACTACCACAAGCACTCTGAGTGCCCAGACTATTCTATTTAATACTATCCAACCTTTTCCATTTCATTATTATTGTTTTGGTTCACCTGTAATTTTGTGTTGCATGACTGGCAAATAAATAGGGATATCTAGACATTTCCCACTATCTATCTCAAACAGGGAACATCCATTACAGCACTCTAATTTACGTGGTGCTCGGTTATATATGCATATTCTGGTAATGGAGACTTTGCTACTCTTATAAAGTACGCTTTCACTTTTTTTTTTTTTTTTTTGCAGATTTGACTCTTTATTTATTTGTTTTTTAAATTTCTATCTTAAGTTCAAATCTTAATTTATATTTGAAATTTTGATGATACTGTGACCTTGAGTGACCAGTCAAGGGACGTACATCAAAAATCTATTATCTCAGCCCGAGCATTTTTAGTGACCTCTGCAGACTATTTGAGAGTGCTAAAAAAGGCTTTAGCTTATTTTGCTTGGGGTTTTTTTTGTTTTTTTTGTGGATTTATCATTATTTGATTTTTTTTCTTTCATTTTTTTGGCTCACCAGTGACTCTGTGTGATAAATAAGCAGGGATTTTTAAACTTCCCCCACTATTTACCTAGTGAGAACGGGGAACAGCCATTACAGCACTCTTGTTAATATGGTGTAAGGTTATTTTTTACATTTTGATAATTGAGATTTTACCATCCTTATCAGCATACTTTAGAAGACGTTTTCTTGTCATTGTGATTCTGTATTTCCATATTTGAGAATGCAGGCTCAGAAAACACCAGCATATTGGTCACATAATAATTAGCAGAGCCTAACCCCCTGTTGACTGCTATTCAGCAATACTGTATTTTATGAGCCATGCAAGTTCCTGTAGATGCAGGTACCAGGTGAAATGATCTGTGCTCTCCTTTCCCACCTGAAACCCGGGGCTGATCACCCTCAGATAGTACACCGCAGGTTTTGCATGAAAGCAAAACATATCAACCTCTTCTATGTATTGGGCTGGAGAGAACCGTTTAATGCTGAAATGAACAGTACTTTATTCCAGTGTAAGTTTTAAATAACTACCGGTAATTATTTTATTTATAGATAGACAGACAGACAAGTGTGTACAAAAAATCTTGTAATACCTTTTATTGTACCAGCAGAAGTTCTGAAAAACAAGCTTTCAGAGATCATCAGTTTATCAAATTTAAATAATTTCTTAAAGGGAAACTATGGTGCCAGAAAAACAAACTCATTTTCCTTGCACTATAGCTTCCCCTTCTGTCAAGGCCCTCTTGACAATAACCCCTTCAGTCACTTACCTGGGTCCAGTGCCGATGTCCTTCGGCGCTGGCTCAGCTCCACCCACACTCCCCCCCGCCGCTGGCTGCTGGCTGGGTAGACCTAATGCGCACGAGCAGCAATGGCCGCACGCACGCATTGGACCTCCACATTCCCCCATTCAATGCTTTCCTATGGGGGTTCCGGTGAC